CTCTCTCTCTCTCTCTCTCTCTCTCTCTCTCTCTCTCTCTCTCTCTCTCTCTCTCTCTCTCTCTCTCTCTCTCTCTCTCTCTCTCTCTCTCTCTCTCTCTCTCTCTCTCTCTCTCTCTCTCTCTCTCTCTCTCTCTCTCTCTCTCTCTCTCTCTCTCTCTCTCTCTCTCTCTCTCTCTCTCTCTCTCTCTCTCTCTCTCTCTCTCTCTCTCTCTCTCTCTCTCTCCTTTTTCCTTGTCTTCCACCTCGCCCCTCCCACCAAGTTAACACAAACAAGGTCAGAAATAATGACTTTTCATTATTTCATATATATATTTCAAGCTCAGAAATAATGAGAACTTCCAGTTAGTTTTCTTGCGTTTTATCATTCCTATATTTAAGCTATGAATTTGTAAGGCGTGTTGGCCTCCACCACCACCACCTGACGCGTCTTACTTGCTAACTTACCCGCGCGCTCAAGGAATACAACAGTCCCTCTGACTCACCCGTGCATCCTCCGCCCTCTTAAAGTGTGTGTGTGTGTGTATTTTATATATATATATAATGCTTTAGAAACTATAAAATAATAGTTTCTTCTTTTGATTATATCTTCCCTTGTCTCCTGATGATATAACACTGAGAAAAGCATCTGGCCAAAACCCCTATACATCAATCACGTTGTTTCGGTAACAATATAATCTTCACGGTGACAGTCGTCTGCTGCATTTTGGACAAAAAACTACAACAACAATCGGAAATATGTGACATCGGTCGATGTCGTTGTAGAATTATTAGGTTGTGGCAGGAATTGGAGTACCAAACGTCCACTGCTTTTCTTAGTTTTATTATAAATATATATATATATATTTTATCTTCTACACGGGCCACGAACTAGCTTGTAGAGTGTGTAAGGGAGCGCGTGTAGACGCTCTGATGCCCGGGGTGTGTCTGAGGTCTGTGGTCTGCAGCAGAGTAGATTGCATTCAAATCTGCTGACACGTTGTTGATACTTATTAAGTTGTTTAGCTTAAGAGGGTATTAGGTCACCCTATGTGTATGTCCATGGGCGACTAACTGGCGTCCAACAAATAGATTTGAGTTGCCAGACCAAGACTTACCCGGTCAGAGAGCTGTAGTGGCTGGTGTACACCCTGCCCTCTGGCGTAACGCCTCGTATTTTGACATAGAATATAATCCCCAACGTCATAGTACGGTGTACTGAAAATTACAGCGGCTCGCTAAGTTGACTTGGATGTGCCGTTGTCCGTTCGTGGGTCCTAGGTTAGGTTAGGTTCGGGCACTTTAGTCCGTTGTAGTGAGGCTGTGACCGCTGGAGCGGACCTGTGACCGCCGCCCCGCCCCGCCCCGCTAGGTCACGCATCTCGCATTCATGACTTCTGTACTGGAAATGTCTAGTTTTGTATCTTTACCTGGTGGCATTATGTTCATTCACTTGCCAACGCTCACGCTAACTACCGGATTGTCTTCCCCAAACCATCCATAAACAGGGCTTTTTATTCACAACAAAACACATTAAATCCAGTTGTGGTTCCCTCGTCCTCCCTCGCCTGCCACCTCCACAATGATTGTTACCAGCAACCATAGCGACTCTTCCGACTTGAAGCTTGTTTGCTTTAGGCAATGATAATAGTAGAGAAATGAGAAGAAACAGCAGATCTTGTGTGTTAGTTAACATGCTAAACTTTAAGCTCTAAACTTTAAACTGTGAAAACGTTCTTTCTAATGTGTCTGTGTAAAATAGTATCAGAGAAATAGACACTGTCGGACTATTTGGAATGGAAGACACGCGAACAAAGAAGACGCAACCTAAGTACCCAAAGGATCCATACAGACATTAAGCCCAATAGCCTTTTGAAACCTATACATCAGTCGAATGTGAAGATTAAGAGGCTGACCCAGAGAGCTAGAGTTCAATATCCCCCTCAAGCACAATTAGACTACTACAGCAAGCAAACAACCAACACAATGCCCTGCTTGAGACGAGCATCGTCACAGTGAGTAGCCAACACTCTTAACTTGGAAGAGTGAGATAGAAAACTAATTATGGTGTAAAGTGTCTGTGTTCCTCTGATGGTCGCCTGCAAGAAGCTAGGCGTATGGAGGCGACGGCCACGAGATGAGAGGATGAAGGATGGAAGGAGGAGGATGTTCTTGCAGGCGGTGCGTCACTGGCGGGTTCGCGCCAACCAATACTAAACGCCCTTCACAAGGACATTCACAGGTATATTCCTGTACAGGATTTCGCCTTGACAATAGATCATTGTCAACATTCAATTGGCTAAATGATCTCGCCATTCTTCAGTATGCTAAATAAAGCGACCTTGTTCGCTGCCATCTCCTCTTAAGATAATGTAGCTAAAATGTTGTCCTCTTGCACCTTAGTATCTTCTCTTACGACTAGCCTTGCACAGCACTCGGTCTCCTTAGTGATCAGTCTTATGACTAGCCTTGCACAGCACTCGGTCTCCTTAGTGATCAGTCTTACGACTAGCCTTGTACAGCACTCGGTCCCCTTAGTGATCAGTCTTATGACTAGCCTTGTACAGCACTCGGCCCCCTTAGTGATCAGTCTTATGACTAGCCTTGTACAGCACTCGGTCCCCTTAGTGATCAGTCTTATGACTAGCCTTGTACAGCACTCGGTCCCCTTAGTGATCAGTCTTATGACTAGCCTTGTACAGCACTCGGTCCCCTTAGTGATCAGTCTTATGACTAGCCTTGTACAGCACTCGCCTATCCAAATGCATTCCCCACTTATTAATATCACGCGGCATGCCTGCATTGCGTCATGCCGTGGTTAAAGCAGCAGTGGTGAATGTTAAGTCCAGTAGTGTAAGGTCGATGGAGAGACAGGGGGCGTGACCGGCTGTCAATCCCTATCTGCCGCTCAAATATAGAACTGAAAATGTTCTAGAGGCTGGTCTATATTAAGACTGGCAAGATAATCAGTTTTTGTTCATCGTTATGTCGAGTTATAAGCCTCGTTACAGAAATGTATATAAGGGTCCGCCTGTGTGATACTGTCGTTGGCACTTTGATCTGGCAAGCTAGAAGACCTGGGGCCAGATTCACGAAAGCACTTATGCAAACACTTACGAACCTGTACATCTTTTCTCAATCTTTGGCGGCTTTGTTTCCAATTATTAAACAGTTAATGAGCTCCGAAGCACCAGGAGCTCATTAATGAACAGTTAATGAGCTCCGAAGCAGTTTATAACAACAACAACAGTTGAATGGGAAGTTTTCATGCTTGTAAACTGTTTAATAAATGTAACCAAAGCCTTCAAAGATTGAGGAAAGATGTACTCGTTCTTAAGTGCTTGCGTAAGTGCTTTCGTGAATCTGGCCCCTGCAAGCTAATCCTAGGCTGGGCTGGGACAACTAGGCACTGTTCCCTCACTGCATTTACCAGAGTATCCAGCAGTGATTTGGAGACCCGGATGTGTGCGTACGCAACTATGTATGGAATGTACAAAATATGGGCCGTTGAACGCGCCAAAAAGTTCATAATTTGAATTGTTGATTTTGCAGAGCCCAAGGATAAAGGAAATAAGCTAACATAACCTAAGCTTTCCTGGGTCTAGTATAGCTTGTGTGTACTAAATCAGGTTTTAGAATGAGCATATTATGGCTAGAATTGCTTAAGTATGTTGACCAGACCACACACTAGAAATTGAAGGGACGACGACGTTTCGGTCCGTCCTGGACCATTCTCAAGTCGATTGTGAGAATGACCCAATCGACTTGAGAATGGTCCAGGACGGACCGAAACGTCGTCGTCCCTTCAATTTCTAGTGTGTGGTCTGGTCAACATACTTCAGCCACGTTATTGTGACTCATCGCCTGCATAGAATTGCTTATCTAGGCCTAGATTGTTACAATGATTGTACAGATTGTTAGTTTATCATACCTTCAGTCTTCCAGTAGTATAAAATGTGAACCTGTTTTTGTCGGGCGCTGGCATGAGTTAGACCAATACAGAGATCTACCGGACACAATATTGTCTATTTTATTCATTTATTATGCAACCTATTCCTTGGGCGGCAGTGTACCCCCATACCCATCCCGTGGGCGGCAGTGTACCCCCATACCCATCCCGTGGGCGGCAGTGTACCCCCATACCCCCATACCCATCCCGTGGGCGGCAGTGTACCCCCATACCCATCCCGTGGGCGGCAATGTACCCCCATACCCATCCCGTGGGCGGCAGTGTACATCCCCCATACCCATCCCGTGGGCGGCAGTGTACCCCCATACCCATCCCGTGGGCGGCAGTGTACCCCCATACCCATCCCGTGGGCGGCAGTGTACCCCCATACCCATCCCGTGGGCGGCAGTGTACCCCCATACCCATCCCGTGGGCGGCAGTGTACCCCCATACCCATCCCGTGGGCGGCAGTGTACCCCCATACCCATCCCGTGGGCGGCAGTGTACCCCCATACCCATCCCGTGGGCGGCAGTGTATCCCCCAGTGTACCCCCATACCCATCCCGTGGGCGGCAGTGTACCCCCATACCCATCCCGTGGGCGGCAGTGTACCCCCATACCCATCCCGTGGGCGGCAGTGTACCCCCATACCCATCCCGTGGGCGGCAGTGTACCCCCATACCCATCCCGTGGGCGGCAGTGTACCCCATACCCATCCCGTGGGCGGCAGTGTACCCCCATACCCATCCCGTGGGCGGCAGTGTACCCCCATACCCATCCCGTGGGCGGCAGTGGAAAGGTTACAGACGCATTTAATGGCCCGGGAACTGAACCTCTGAACCGACACAAGAATAACGAACTTTCAGCTGCTAAAAAAAATCTTAGACTTACCAACTGTTGTGATAATTCCCTAATATAACTTGTTTTGTTTTAGTTTGGCTTAATAGTGCGAGTGTTCTCTTGCTGTCATGATATAATGGGTACTCTGCGGTGCACCTTCTACCTGCGACCTGCGGGCACACTATTCACCTGCTATGTTTACGCGCTGACTCATGACTCTCCTTTCTTTACAGGCTCCCCATTGGCTCCTTGGCCGTGACGTAGACGTCCAACGCACACCTCATTGGACTGTGACATCAGATGCTGATCTCATCATTGGCTTAATAAAGGAGTGACGTAGTTCTACTGGAAAGCAGTGGCCCTGCTTATTGGCCAAGAATCAGTGACGTAACTGGGCTTCAACGTCGCGGGACTTCGGTTTTCTTTCATTGAGAGCGAGTCCTCGGGATAGTGAACATCTGCCCTTGGATACTGGAGGCTCTGTATCAGGCAGGGTTGGCATACAGAGTAGTGGTGAACAGTGTACGCGACGACCAGGAACATTCTTGATAAAATACTTGTCACAGCGTTAAACTAATGAACTAATATGTTTATGACGGTGTTAACATGAAGTTTAATATCAGTGAACTTGAGAGGACAGTGGAGAGATCAAACCAGTGTGGTGTAAGCCCTGTAGAGAGCTACTATCAGTGTTTTGTTCTGAAAATATGAATTTGTAGATTCTATCAAGGCTACAGGAGTCTTGTGAGGTGCGTCCAATTGGGCGTAGCGTATGGGCAGTGCCGCGGTGCGTAGCTAGAGGAAGCAGCAGCAGCAGCAAGAGCAGGTGAAGTAGAGGTGGAGGAACCGTGGGTGTAGGATGTGCCAGGGGACCCAGGAGTGCTCGGAGCGGTGCGGCAAGAGTACCAGCAACACGTCCAGGAACAGCATGACAATGGGCGGCGTAAGGGGCGGCTCTACACTGAACGAGGTGGGCGTGGCTAGGCATGTGCCTCACTATGCCTCCACGCCTCACCTGTTTGTCTACCAGGCTGCCGAGGACGAGGAGGAAGTCGACCATACCCCCAAGGAGGCTAAGGAACCTATCTATTCCTCCGCCATCGATATTCGCAAAGCAGCTGCGTCTAAGGAGGTTAGTTTTGTCGTGGCTGGTGCTTCCTAGAGCGATGGTCTTGCTTCATGCAAGTCGGTGTTCAATCCCCGACCGTAGGAGCTGCCTCGTATGGGCCAATAGGCCTTCTGCAGTTACCTTTGTTCTTATGTCCAAGTGGTTGGGCACCATTCATTCCCCCGTCCCATCCCAAATCCTTATCTTGACCTGTTGTTGTTTCATAGCCACTACGGACTATAGTGAGCCCGTAGTGGACTTACCTGACACAGGAGCGGGGCTGTAACTTATCCTGACCGATTGATTGATAAAGATTAAGCCACCCAAGAGGTGGCACGGGCATGACTAGCCCGTAATTATCCTGACCCCTTCCCAGTGCTATATATAGGTGTAATGGCTTGGCGCTTTCCCTTGATAGTTCCTTTCCCTTCCTTACAATGATCACGACTGCCTTCCCATGAAAAATAACTAAATATTACACATGTATAATATGGATTATAACGACTTAACTGCTTTTTAATTTTCAGTTATTGATTGTATACTTGAATGCTTGTTTAAATACATTATTTGGTGTTGACAAAGTGTTGATATTTCAGGCTGAAGCGGTGCGACGCATCAACGAGAAGTACGACTCGCTGCGGGCCCTGACGGACCGGAGAGACGATGCAGAGGATCCCTTGGCGGTCACAGATGAAGATGTGTCGCGGATAGAGACCTTCTTCCGTGGTCATAAAACTCAGCTGTGGGTGTGCCGCACGATGGCCAACCTCTACATCGAGGGCGGGGCCGGCTCCACACACGGCACGTGGGAACTCAAGTATACAGGGGTACCCATCCTGTTGCTTGACCAGGGCGAGACCCGCTCGCGCGATAAACGGCGTCTGCAACTCATTTTGGCAGAAAAGGGAACTGGTTTTGCTCTCTGGAGAGATGTAGTGGATAACTTGACGTCATATCGCGCTCAGGAGCCACAATTCCACACACTCTACTTGTCCTCTGATCACCGTCGTCGCATGGGCTTCTCCTTCAACGACGGACGAGCTGCCAGCGAATTTCACAGCCACATCGAACGCCTCACAGCTGATCCGGCTAACATCTCTCTCTCTGGTCCGGGCAAGAAGAAGAATAAGACGAAAGAAAAAGTCCAGAAGTACAAAGCACCAAAGAAAACAGATATTTCCTCTCCTTGTAACTTTCAACACGTGACTACTGTCGACGCCTGCGACAAGGCACGATTTTTTTCTCTTCAGGCGTTCTCTAAAATAAAGAGTAGCCCGCCACCACTCCAACCCCATACAGTGGTGGAGCTGCCCACGGACACTCCAGACACAAAGCAGTAGAGTAGAGACTCCGTCTTGCTTGGTAAATTAGTTTAGATCGATAAAGTGATGTTTTAACTACTGTTTATTAGTGATGACTTAGTTCAGAGTCAGAGGAATGACTTGAGTCAGGAGCGTGGATGGGTGAACCTTCCCTGCTATTAAACGTGCCAACTTCTCCTCTCTCTCTAAAGTGTGCTTTAGTTGATGTTAGTGCTGAACTAGCAGAATATTGTGCAACTGCACATGGCGGTGAGAAAGGTGCCAGTGTGATACATCACTGAGAGTGGAGAAATTAAGAATCGAATTGTGCTTAGTGAAATATTGTGCACTGGTGAGTTGAGTGAAGACTTGATAGGTGTAGCTTGCGTGAGTGAAATAGGTTAGCATATTGAGCTCCACCAGTGAGCACTGTGACTGGGATATCTGGCCGTAAAGTGATCAGTCTGTCTGCAGACCTGTGGTGCTTCCCTCGTCCTAGTAGTGCCACCAGCCGGGTGCTGATAACAGGACTTGAGAATCAAGAATATATCTACACATCTTAGAATAATGCAGTGTAACAGGTCATTACATTTACATAGAAAACTTAACGAACTCGTACAGTCGACACTATAAAGTTTAAGAAGTACTAAACGAGTGAAAATATCCAATTATGGACATAGTCATGTGGCTATGAATTTTATTTTCTAATGCTGGAAAGTTCCTAAGCAAATGTTACTTATAACTTGAAACTATATTTGCTATAAAAGACAAGACTGTTTACCAAAGCAGTTGTAAACTGTCATTTTGTATAACAATTTTGCCTATGGTGACTGATTACTTATTACAAATGATGTGGAACAGAAGCTTACACAATCATCATTGTATCATTCTTTTGAAGTATATAGAAAAGTTAATATTATTGAAAAATAACATTTTGAAAAAACTCAGATGTATTTATATACAAGATTTATACCACCTTGGAACATCCGGCGCCATATAGTTGCGTTTATAGAAAATGAGCCTTATAGAAGTAATATAGAGCTCATATTTTCTGTTGCGTATACTGGATTACAGTCTTGGTGGACGGAGCTGCCACCAGGGCTACCTCCACTTGACATTGTGTACAGTTCTCTGTCGGTCCACTTTGCTTCATATCAGTTATGTAATGTAATATACCAAACTGCAGACTCAAATCTGACTTAAGTGGCAAAGTCGTACGTTTTCATCGTGGTGACGTCACGAGGCAGAATTGGCTTTGCAAATAAATCTCCTGTATATTTAAGATAGATACCCGTCATACCAAGTGGCATATTCAATAGGAATTGTTTAGTTTGCTGGAGTCCTTTAATATAAGGCGGCGTTAATGATCCATTAAAGAGGGGTAATGTATATGATGTCTGCAGTATGATAGAACAAGCATTTCCCCCATGAGCCAGGTAGCCACCCTAAAAGTTTAGTTTTTACCTTTGCTTGAAAACTTAATTATCGAATTCTTACCCCTCGGTCCAGCAAGGATGTACATTGTGAGAGTTGGCCGCCGGGTTGGGATAACATAGGGGGTCAGGATAGTCTTCAGTTCAATTTGTGTTTCTTCCATTTACTTGATAGTTATACTGTCATGTACTGATTTAAAGCTGCTGTATTTTCTAAGAGGATAATGAAAGTGTGTTGATATTTGTGTGTATATGGTATGCCTATATTAGCTGCTGAATATTTGAGCCATCATTAATTAAAGAGGGCTAGATTTCACCTTCTTGCAACTCGTACTGTAAACGAAATTACCTTATTCGGTTGAAGGTGTAGCGACCACCACTTGCGCAGTAGTTGTGGGTCGACGCCAAGGTCAGGGTGAGGGAGCGAGAGGACCGGACGAGGAGGCTGGCATCTTGCCAGGACACTCAGGCCAGAGGAGCAGGAGCAGGAGGAGCCTCATGCTTGCTCTCAACTACTCGGTTTTCAAACTTGACCAGACTAACCTGACCAGCATCCAGTTCATGCCCGAGACTAGCCTCGTTGCAAGTGGTATTCAAAATGGGAGGTTGTAGTAATAATACGGTAGGCCTACAAGAGGTACTACTGTAATCCTCTTTATTTTCGCGCGATGACATTCCTTTTACTACTTCAATTAAATATGTTCAAAGAGTTGTACTTACTGTTAGCAGATGTATTAGTATGGGCTATTATCTTGGATAACTTTTGCATACAGGATAATTAACGGTTATGTAATGTATAAAAAGTTATACATCAGTGTGCAATTTTAGTATTTAACCAACGAAATCAAAATAAGTGCTATTACACGCCTTTATATTGGTTCAAGACGGACAGGATTTGTCGTCGGTTCTTCGTTTGTCAAATGTGTGGGTTGGGCGTGAACTCACCTACCCAACCGCTTGGGCTGGACGGTAGAGCGACGGTCTCGCTTCATGCAGGTCAGCGTTCAATCCCCCGACCCATCCCAAATCCATATCCTGATCCTTGCCAAGTGCTATACAGTCGTAATGGCTTGGCGCTTTTCCTCTTCCCTTCTTCACCCACGTTATTGTGACTAATCGTCTGCACAAAGTGATATAATTTAGACAGCAGCTAATACAACTATATATGGTCACCTCAAAAGCTAACATTGTTGCCCACGAAGGCCATTAATTATTTATGATTATTTAATTTCGGTCTGCAATTGTACACATTGACATTCCTCATTCTAATACTCCATTTTTTTATAATTGTTATTATTGTGGATGTTAATGTATGGTCTGATATTTAAGGTTTAAATTGGATTTTATATACAATTATATTTTACACGAGTTCCAAGATTTTTATATTTTTAATATGTAAAATATATTAGTTGTTTCATGTTATTCTTTCTGCAGCTTACATATATTTATGTAGTTATTAAGCATAAATGTATTGCATTTATCATGTTAGGTCAAGCAGCTTTCATATCCTAAAGTGTACAGTGTAAATAAACTGTATAAATAAATATTTATAATTTTCCTAGTTATGTTGGGGGAAACAAACTTTAACATTATCACTTATTAAACACCTGAAACATTATTCACCTAGCCGTATGTGTGTCTTTAATCAATTTATTCCATCGAAAGCTGTACAGTACATACCTGCTAGGTTGAGGTAAACAATGAATTTCTCTTGACTTCCCATACTGGAGTTGGACTCTGACAGAATGATCCACCATACATTATCGGTATTAGGGATTAAGGATACCTGATGCACCCCAAATATTTGTAAAGGAGTTTTATATTCGACTGGTTAACACACGGGAACAAGTTGATTCCTTGATTTGTAAGCTTGTAATTTTCTAACCATACCATTCCATATTGGCCTGAATGCATCATATAACTAATAAGTTAACCAGAGAATATTCCTCCTTTTAAGAAAGAACTCGAAGGCACTAATAAAAGGGAACTATAGCATAATTTAATTAACCTGAGACAGCGTGGAATCTATTATCTCGTCAGAATGCAATATTATGCAGGAAGAACCATGTGTATCTAGGACTCTTCCAATAAAAACTCGATATACCTTTACAAAAATCGAACATTTAGAAAATTACTGTATATCATTAATATTCAAGAACTGTCATTCTTGTCATACGGGAAAATATATAAAAAAAACTTGCCCAATTATCCCAAGTTTGCCATTTGTTGATAATGCATATAATTTCTGTAACCTTACACTACAAGTGTCTTTGTGCACTACTTGCCCATGCACTGTAGGTTAACAACAACTGAAGAGTACAAGCCATGTAACTTTATCACAAATTTGAGGCAACTGGAAAGTATCTACAGTACTTTACCATAAGTGTAAATGACTCTGTTTAAAGAACATTGGGGGGTCCCATTTCTCAAAATTGGGGCCCAAGGAACCCCAATGTAACTCAGGGTTCTGCAAAGACAGTGATAAATAAGCAATTGGATTTTTGCGTCATTTTTGTTTAATTTTTTCATTTAATCATTATCAAGAGCAAAGACAGTCTAATTTCAGTTGACAATGAAGTTGGTGTTTTTATGTAAAGTACGACCCGGAATTATTTCACGGGAACGAAGATTGGGGGAACGCCAGCGGCGCCGTTACTAGCATCATTTAGGATAAAAACCCATACTTGTGAATTTGTGAACCCACAGTTATGAATTTGTTAAATTTATGTATGGAATTTACACAAAGTCGTTGACCAGTCGTTGACCAATCCACACACTAGAAAATGAAGGGACGACGACGTTTCGATCCGTCCTGGACCATTCTCAAGTCGATTGTGAGAATGGTCCAGGATGGATCTAAACGTCGTCGTCCCTTCATTTTCTAAATACAAATACAAATATTTATTCAGGTAAAGTACATACATACAAGGTAAGATACAAAAATTGATGGATTTATAGACAGAGCTAGTACATACAATGCCTAAAGCCACTATTAAGCAAAGCGTTTCGGACAGTGTGTGGATTGGTCAACATACTTCAGCCACGTTACTGTGACTCATCGCCTGTATACACCAAGTCTTTCGCACTCTCCTGAGTGGTTTGTCAAGGTCCGAGTTTGTAATTGGGACGCGACTTACATCTCAACGTCTAATAATTCATTAGACGTTAAGATGTAAGTCTCGTCCTAATCACACACTCAGACCTTGACAAAGCACTCAGGAGAGTGCGAAAGACTTGAGTGTAAATTCCTTAAATAATTTTCACATCACACATGTGTGGATTTTTATCCTATGTTGTTATATCTATGAGAAGACATTACCATTACTAGTATAATTGCTGCCAGTAACTGCCTCGGGTAATGGCAGCTCTTAACTAATGATCGACAAGCTGGTGTGGCCTCCTGACGGTACGTGGGATTAGCTCGTTCAATTAGGAATATTAACCCACAACCTCACGGAATATTACCTTCCTGATGGGGGGAGGTGGCCAGACGTAAGGCCCCCGCCGCTCTGTGTACTCTCCATCACAGGTGGGACCTCCTCCTTGCTTGGTCTGCATAATGTAAGTTTTTTCTAAATACATTGACAAAAATAATACAAAAGTATACACTACCGTGATTTATTTAATTTACTTTTTAGACGACTGATACAAGCTGTGTATATCTAGATAGTTGATTTATGAAGTGAATATTTAAATTGTATAACAACTATATGTTGTAAAAAAAACAAAAACTGTGCCCGTATGAAACTAGATGAGCTTAGTGTTTGGGCTCTGGTAACCTCCTACCTACCTACCTTGAGGTGCTTCCGGGGCTTAGCGTCCCCGCGGCCCGGTCGTCGATGATTATTGTGACCAGCCAGTATAATTTAGTCCTGGACTAAAAGAATTTCTCAGGACAAGAAGATTTAAGAGTCCTTAACATGACAGAAGAGATCATGATATGTGTCTGCAGACTTGACACTTCTTTAGTGTTCCTTAAGTGTCTCATACAGTGTACAGGCAGTTTCACCAAAGTATTGTAGAGGACAAGACGATGGTGTTTGACGCGAAGACTACAGCCAATAGGTTAAACCAAAGCAACAAAACAACACCCATTGAAAGGTACATATACAGTGTTATGGTAAGCGTAAACAGCTTTTTATAGGTTAGGGTAAACAACTTTAGCGTAGCGTAAACAGATTTTTACAGATTAACGTAAACAGCTTTTTACAGGTTAGCGTAACAGCTTTTTACAGGTTAGCGTAAACAGCTTTAGCGTAGCGTAAACAGCTTTTTACAGGTTAGCGTAAACACCTTTATGATTTATGTGATTTGTTAACACTTGTGGTCTTCCACTAAATAAAATAAGTAAAAGTAAACCAACCATCCTCCTAATATGTTAGTACTTACATCAACTATTTAGTCAAATGTACAAAAATGTACGACTGGACCCACACAAATTTCACATTTTGTACAGGGCACAAAATATAAGCCAAAACACTAAACCTAGACAATATAGCACATTGTGTGTTATATATTTTTTCTTTATTAAATAATATACAATATAATGATCATATTTACATATCATCACAGAGCATGAGCCATAAACCCCAAATGTTATACAATACTTGATCCTGCCTCGCAAGAATTTAAATATTTTGTCTACTGAATAACCCTCTTGCCTGCCTATCCACACACAACAAAATGTAATCAGAAAGTAGCATAATTACTGTAGTCTTAATTTTCTTGCATTTTATATCAATATGAAACATTAAAAACTCTCTTTAAATCCACTCTAATGCTTGGTCCACATAAAGCTTTAAGTGTGTCTGTAATCCAGTTTACAAGAACAGCTTTCTGCTTACAGAAATAAAATATATGCATATTTTCAATTTCAGTACATTGGTCACATCTATTGTTGTCCTTAATGCCCAACATCAACAACCTACCATTTGTATTGTCTCATGAATATAGGGATACAATAATTCACGTTGTTTTGTGGCAATAAATTTATTAACATGAAGGTTTGGCCATATTACTCGCCATTTAAAGAGTGGATATGCCTCCTCTACTCTAGGAGTTATATGTGGGAGCAGAAAATCATACACGTGTTTACTGTTCATCATTAAAAAAAAAACTTCAACATTACAAATCCTCCTGAGAACATCAATTGTACAAGAATAAAAATGAGGTGAAATAAAGGCAAGGTCAGTATACTCTGGCATATGTATCAAGTAGCTAACACGTATTTTACAAAAATAATGCCCTAAGGCATTTACACTAATCCTTTGCCTTATTTCTTCTCTACAGGTAACGCATAAGACAGCCAATGACTTTTGGCCTAAAATTATAAAAAATGGTCAATGCCTCATCACGTAACATCACTGTTCACAACGCCACTTTTCTGCGTTACATATCACAATTTTTCGAACCTCATTTTTGGTTAAACAACAGCCGCGTTTTACTGGTTAATAACTTAGCCATAATGCTGGGGCCGACAGATATAGTGGCGGATAAATGGTGGTTACAGCCGTGGGGGTGTGGTTCGAAATATATTCTGATCTTGATTGCCGTGGTTGATAACTTAATTGTGGCTATATGGTTAATAAAACGCATAAATAGTGCTGTAATTAAACCTAGCTATGATATTTCATATTAAAATAAAGTTGTAGCCTTATCAAGGGAGGTTTAAGAAATTTCCTTGCCTAGCTCTATAATAGCACTGAGGTTGTAGTTTAGGACTAGTATAAAGATAAAAGTATGGAAAAGATAACGATTAACCTTTATTTAAATAACAGTGTCATAACAAATTTTCTGGACATGGCAGTGCCATGCCAGTGAAGGGAGGGGACACCTTGGTAGACAAGGGTAAAAAATGGCGGAGAAGTATGGTGTGGGCGGGAAACGGAGGCTCTTGGGACTTACCGAAATATGTTTTCGTAAAGCTAACAAGTGTCGATAATGTTTAGTATAGGAGGAAATCGTAAGATATTGGTTGAATTGTATGATGTGGCGGGAAGATTGAACTTCACAGGCACATCAATACAGTTTATAAATATTGTGGAAAATTTTAATTCTCTCTGTTAATAATGAAAGGCTTCCAGACTTCTCATGTTACTCTTGGACTGTTATAGTCAAACAAAAATAAAAAATCGAGCGGCAGAAGGCGAAAATATAACATTCATTATGGCATTAAAATGAAGATAATGAGTATTAATTATGGTGGGAAAAGATCACGACAAATGAGAATGGCGCCACGTGGAGCTGTGTATAAGAGATGCGCGCCAAGTGCAGGTCTGTTACGGGCTCACCATAGCCCGTGCTACATGGACACTTCGTTCTGAGTAGCTAAATCTGAAACAACAACAACAGTGCAAGTCTGTCACTCCAATTCTATCTCCAGACGGGTGAACAGGTGCAGCTGAGACCTGGCCTACGTAAAGGTAAGAGTAGTTGAACATTTAGCAGTTTTATAGTGTTAATGTAAGTTACGAGAAAGATAAATATGAACCTTTGGACGAATAAGCTGTGATATCTGGTTTATAGAGAAAGTACATGCTGACCATGAATATAAACGAATATAACATTGTGCCATACTGATGAGTTCTCACGAATTTAACGTTATTTTGCACATGGTTCACAACGAGATGAAACAGGAACTAAGAGTCATTTGCGTTTGAAAAATATAATGCTTCCTTGCATTATCCAGTGGGCAGCGGTGGATAGGTTACAATCACTCAGTTACTACCTACAGTTAGCAAACTGGGGATATTTGGCTAAAATTTCTGGTAGCAGATCATTTGGAATGAAATATTTACACATCGCTGGAACATTGGTTATAGAATTGTCTCTAAATTCACGTATCTTTTCGCACTCCATCACATAGTGACGGAGGGTGTGCGAATAATTTTGTTGACACAGTTTACATTTGGTCAGGTCTTCATCGGCAGATAATGAGAATTCCCAGAGATACTTGTAACCGAGTCTAAGCCGAGCAGTAGTAACATCTAGAAGTCTGCTGATTTTATTGGATGATCCATAGATGTGTGGCTCCTCTTGCATGATAGTATGATGATAGATGGAATTACTGGTGTCAATTTCACTTTGCCTCAGATCTACAAGATCTTGTTGAAGTTCTCGGTGTATTGCTGCTCTCAGATTGCTCATTGACAAGACAGACATATCAATTGTGACACTAGCTCTCCAAATATGTCAGTTGCTTAATTTAGAAACTGTACTTGTGGTCGATCTCGAACCCATTACAACTTATATTGAATTTTGTAACTAGCTCATCAAGATTGTAACTTGCTTAGCTAAATGAATTGTGGGGTTCAGTCCCTGAGCCCATTATGTGCCTCTGTAACCCTTTCCACTACCGCCCACAAGATGGGTATGGGGTGAATAATAAATGAACTAAACTAAAAACTAACTTGGAAGTGAAACCTGATTTATGGAAAACAAATTGATGACCATATATTCCATATAAATGAATAAAATAATAAAAAAATAAAAGCTTGAAGCTCAAGAAGCCACAATGTAGGACAAAACAGGAGATTCTTTTTTTTTCAGGAGACGCATGGAACCGTGTACCCACTGAAGCCGATATTACTGCAGTCCAAAATTCTATTGACAAAAATCTTCAGGAAAATGGGGGAACCTTTGACAAACAGCTGTCTTTCTGTCCCTGCTCAGATCACTAGGAAAATGGTGGCCCTCAGGTAAATTAAGTAACTGACAGATGGAGCCGCAGAGCGATTCACTTATGTTCGACTCAAAGTGTGCGCGTTCTTGGATCTCCTGTGGATTGCACTTTCTCCCACTTAGTTCAGTCTATAAAACATTCTTATCTAAACCACTGCAAATATATTTTGATAAACAAATACAAATATAGTGTTTATATATACACATACCTCTAAATTCTTTTTTTGTTGCAAGGAAAGAATTGATATTGAAATTTTAATATAAAAAGAGATATTGAGAGTTGTGAAAAAGCATATAGCCCAGCGTGTGCTGTAGTGCTTGTGTCTTGTCAACACAGCTGACGGAGGTGTAGCAGATCCACTCCTGCGGCCTTACTCACCCCCCTCCCTCAGGTACACCTCACAACACGTGGATACCACCAGTAATATAAGTAAGACACGGTATGAGTAGAGTTGCTGGTGGCTGGAAGATAAAAATGAGTGGAGATGAGGGTCAACAGAGGGCCTAGAAAAATTTAGAATGGCCATTCGTATAGGCCTACTGGGCCTCGTAGTTAGGTACCGACCGTACAACTTTCCAGTGCTTGCCAACCTTAATTTATTAGATAAATAGTGCGAAAAGGCTTTAGAGAACCATAACCACTTTCCAGTTGACGTGGATGAAAGTGCTATACCATATTTGTCAATTCTGACTCTAAAAATACTGGTACAGACAATAAGCAGGCACAGTAAACAGGATTATATCAGACTGTTAGCAGCAGCATATCTATGCAAATTACTCTTTCTTTAAGAAAGTTAAATATTTCAGTCTGATAGTAGGAAATCTTTGTAAAAATTGCAAAAAGAACAGCGCTTTTTTTATGAAGTCATGGCGAGTGCTGTTCATATGCCTCTAATTTCGGTTTTATATGTGTAATTTTAAACTAGATTTCAGTAAGTGATCCCATGTCACTACTTTGATGATGTACAGTATAGAGATGGGGCAACCCCATTATTATGTGCTACAGTTGCCTTTGCATTCCTTGCATTAGAGATCGTATGGTAGGAGATTAGACAGGCTAACCACTAAATGTCAAATTAGTCTCAGAACTGGGGCCCACACCTGCCAAAATGCCAGAAAGCAAAGACATTTGCATTATTGCCTGGAACAAGAGAGGAGTAAATCAGGGGCAGAAAAAGCCATGAGGTAACTGTTGTGGGGTTGCATTCTGAGGAAGATGATTAGTTTGACCTTAGGGGGACCTCGATAGATGCCTCAACACAGGCTTCCTTTTCCCTGACAACAGCAATTTTATACTGTACTTGAGTTAGAACTGAAAGTGATGTCTAGCAGCAGTATTAATCAGGTGGGAATGTGGTATAAAAAGGCTTTCTCGGGAGATTAAAAAAGCAGGATCCAAGAATCAATGCTCGATCCTGCAGGCACAAATAAGTTAGTACACACACACACACACCCACACGCACGTACACACGCAAATAACTGTAGGCTGTTATAACTGAACAGTACTGTATTCAGATGTTATTGGTTTGAACTACATATAAATTATTTTTTCAGTTTCATGTCACCAGATATAGGAAAACTCCCATGATGGAACTGAGCCATAGCCTGACACTTAATGAGGGGGCACTCCAACAACTTCCACCTGCAAAGCGGCCAATTTTCATATTTGAATGGTTACGATTCTTGGACAAGGTTCTCGAAGCTGCCAACAAGGTTAGTCTGTCTACTATTAACAAATGTACAGTATGTTGACCTGTATATTTTCTCATTTTTAACTTACTGTATTAATATAGTGCATTTAAATTACAGTATCTACCATACTTTTCATGAAGAAGGGCTTTGTTTTATATATTGCAATTTATGATAAAATGGTAATTCCTAAATTTAAGACTGCAGTCATTTTGTATTACAGATTTAATTTGGATGTTTTAAGAGAACTTTAGATGTATTTCTTAATTTAAATATTACAAACAGATAATTTGCTGATGTGTATTCCACAATTAAAAAATTATTTCATCTTACAGTCAGACATAAAGGGATGTCAGAAACAATTGGTAACCCAGTTGGTGGGACAAATGAACGAATCTCCTGGCCCACCAACACGGAAATTAGTGGCTCGGTGTTTAGCAACACTTTTTAGTGTTGGAGATACCTTCCTTCTATTTGATACAATCAACAAATGCAACGATGTGCTGAAGAACAAGGACGACTCCCCAAGCTACTTGCCCACAAGACTGTAAGCTGTGTTGTTGCTCTAGCATTTTCATATTCCCTGTATTTAAACATGCATGTATGAATATAAATGGGGTATACAGACAGGGGCAGGTGCAGATCTAGTACAAAAAAATTAAAATATGCTATAATATGTTTTTTATCTAACCATTTATGTTTCAATGGCATATCTATGACCTGGGACAGTCCTAAATGTTAGCTGTGATTAGGAATGACACTTAATTGTGTGATGTTATGATAGACTGCTGTTTCCCAACAGTGTGCAGTCTTACTCACTTAGTCCCTCATTCTTGTAACTTAGTTTTGTCCTCTTTTTAGGTATTATCAAGTACATTACTTATGGACACTAAAATACCAATTCCATTTTATCTTTTTTTTTTCAGGGCTGCAGTTACATGTATTGGAGCAATGTATGAGAAGCTTGGCCGCATGATGGGTCGTTCGTATGAAGATACTGTGCAGATATTAATTAAAGCATTACGAAATGCAGAATCCCAGCTGAGAATAGAAATAATGATAACGTTGGAAAAAATAACTGCAGGTATGGGGTCAGCTGCAGGAAATGTACACAAGGATATATACAAGGCAGCCAAGATAGGACTGACAGATCGTGCTCTGCCTGTGAGATGTGCATCTGCTCTTGTAAGCATTTTTGTACTACAGTTTACTGTTGTTCCATAGGGTAGAGCTGCTGGTATCTGGCCACTGACACTTGAAGCAACCAAGAAAGCCTACATTACTAGATAAAATCAAAACCAAAAAATGTCAGGAATGACATTTTGTCATTTAAATGACAAAAATGCCATTTACTCTTATGATACAGTATATTTAAACATGAAGGCTATTTAATACAAAACAAACAAGTTTGGAATGTTTGGCTTTCCTCAATTGTGCACATTTTTTTTATTAAATTCTTGAGGAAATAATGTTTTTCATTGATAAAAATATTATATTGTATTTTTAGTTCTTTGTTTTTAGCCAAATATATGGTCATTTAACTGTTGAATGACAAAGGTGCAGTCACTTAGAAAGGAACATTATGGGTAATAAATGATCTGACAGGATATTGGTACAGTACCACAAATATCCCTGTTCTGGTATCTGGAAACCAAAGTAATGCACTGTCCCTGTATCTCAAAATCAATCAAAAATGTCACCAACACACAAGGCACCTTAGTGGTGGTCATTGTTTTCCAAGGAGCAAGCCACCAAGCACTGTGGGTGAGGCTGGTGCCATTGTCTAGTCGTGTGTTGGGGGCTGGTGTTTAGCTAGAAAATAAATTGCACTAACACGGCTGGGAGCTTTTCAAAGTGTCCCTGCCAGGTCATACTGTATTGGTGTTAAAAAGTCATTAGTGGAGAACTGAATCCAGCCAGGTGTGACCACATCACCAAGTCCCCAGCTTCAGGGCTCATAACATTACTTTAGACTTGATTCTGTGATGGTAAGGGTTGGCTCAAGACTACATTTAGTTAAGTGATATGCTTCCATCCTTAGAGCCTTTGTTTCATGTTTGGTTGTCTTGTGTTTTTCATAAATGTATTCTTGTTCACACCAAATCTTCATAATCAGCAGCCTTTTTATTTCTGTAATTTCAAATTCTAATGTGTGTATTGTATTTTCTGTATTGTATGATGGTTTGAGTTGAGTAGGAAATTTAATCATTTTTAATGCTCAACAGTGTTTGATGGAAATGACAAAACATGCATCTTTCCTCTACACAACCGAGATTGAGAATCTCTCTCAGCTGTGTTACCGCTCCTTTGATAATAGCAACTATGATGTTCGCTGCACCGTGGCTAAACTACTAGGAACTGTACTGGCCACCACACAGAATCCACCAAAGGAATTTGCTAAAGGTGAGAATGATTTGGAATTAATTTTCCATGAGTAGGTAGTCACATCTTGTTCTTAGTTTGGATTCGATTTTGCCATTTGTCTCTTATAACATTACTTTGTAGAATCATGTCTAATTTTCATAATGTTTTTGTGAATAGCTGTCTACTAAATTCTCTGGTCTTGGGTCTGACAGAATTTCCCATTTGCCAAGCATGTTCACTTTGAGTGGGTAGAGCCATACCATATCTGACAAGGATGGAATATGAACTGTATACATATTTGTGAAGGCATATGTGTACATCCGTTCTCCCACACACACAGTGCATGCTTGCTCACATTCAATCACTGACTCACTGGAACTAAGATTTTATTAAAAAAATAGGTTGTGTACAGTATTTATTTTTATATTTTCAGGGAGTAAGGGAGGAGTGGTGAAGTTACTGTCACTCGAGGAAGCACTGACAATCCTCTTGACGGGTTTTTTACGTGGAGGAAGCAGTTTTCTTAAAGGGACTGGTGAAATGATCAAAGGTTCTTCGTCAGTGTCACGTGAAGTCAGAGTGGGGATCACCCAGGTGAGAAAGTGATTATTTATTTTAAATATAATATGTGCCTGGTATACAATTGTAAATTATATTCATATCTGCATAAATGTGTGTGTTGTTTCTTGGTTATAGGCCTACGTGGTACTCGTTCAAGAGCTGGGAGCATTATGGCTGGAGCGAAACATTTCAACTCTGTTGGCTCATCTGACAGAACTCGTGGCCAGCCCAAAAGCCACCACATCCCATGTCGATGCAGTATATTCTCGCAAATGTGTCAATTTCATCCTGAGAGCTACTCTAGGACGCATGATTGGAGAGAAGGCACAGATGGCTGCTTGCAAAGAAATTACACAGCTAATAATTAAGCACATGAATAGTGTTGGTATGTAATAAAAATAACTAAGAAAATTATGCAAATTTCCTAATGAAGATTATTGATGAAGATTATTACATCATTTTTCTTGTATTGTATTAAGTAGGAGGACAACAATGATCTTTTATAATTTTATTCCCAAGTCTGTTGTCTCAGTACTGTCAGTATCAGTAAGAGTACTAAAATACATAATCTTTAAATTGTTAGCATGTTTTAATGGATAAGATTCATCAAGTGTTACCATTCTTGGGGTATTTTTCTTTGTTCATTATTTAGCTATTTTATTAACCATCAAAATTGACAAATATTGTACATGTATATTAATTTGGAATTTTATAGACATTTTTTATCGAGTTGCATTCCTTGTCTTTCAAAATTCCTTTAAGTTTTAAGTCTACTGTTTATTATAAATTTACATTCCTTACACTACTTATTTCTTATCTTGCATTTTGGTCTGCTTTTTCTCTTTAATCCTAGAATCTTATCATGTTGATAAATATGTAGAAAAATATTAGAATGCAAAAGATTGCATTTTGATGGTTTCACCCAGTCATGGCTCTCAAATTGTCCTGTCATTTGAGGAAGAATTTTTTTAAGTTCTGGTATTTTACTACATACTGTACTCACTCTTTCTCTTGCATTCACTCATTGAACTATGAAAGGGAAGGAAAAATTGGTTCCACTTTTTGTTCACATTAAGTACCTATCCTCCTCAGGTACATGCTAACCCCCCAAGTTGAGTAAACATCTCTCGATATTTAGTGTTTTCTGTTACAACCGAGGTGATTACAATTATCCGTGTCTTTCAACTACAGAAGTTGTATTTTTTTTTTTTTGTTACATTTGCTACTCTTGAGATGTGAGTGGTGAGGGTACAAAAGATGGAGGCGAGGGTGGTCAACATGTGCTGGTGTGTTTACTACAAGAGTTGGGCTGCCTCATGCAGTCCCTCAGCACCACTTGTGCCACCATTGTTCTCGACACACACCTTAGTGAGTAATGATCTTTCTATACTGTAGTAATTTGGTTAATACCTCTTTAAATAAAAATAATACTAATGCCATTTTTTTTTTTTAGGACCAAATGATTGGAAAGCTGTCAAGTTTGATAAAAAAAGATATTGATCATATTCAGGTTTTGTCTTGGTAGAACATGAGATTTACAAGAACTTTATGATTACTGTTCAGAAAGTTACCCATTTTATCCATATCTTGAATACTCATTATTTATAGAAAAGATTATCATAACAGATTCTCAAGAGATAAAATGTATGGTTAAGTGTATATCAACAGACAGCAAAATGAGGAGTTTATTCCGTTACAATTAGCAGACAGCCTCGGAAAAATCAATAAATTAATTTACTGTATGCATATTACAGAACAATATGTGATTTTCCAAATTATTTAGAAGTTAAATCTCAAGTTAATTTTTACAGATTTGGTGGATGCAGTTGTTGCTGTTTTACTCCATCCAAGTAGTGCAGCTCGGCTGAGTGGAGCGTGGTGCCTACGGTGCATCTGTCTTGCCCTGCCCTCTCAACTCCACCCACTCATTACCCGCTGCTGTGATCGTCTTGATGCTCTAAAGTCATCGCCAGAAGCCATTGCTGGATATAGGTAAATATGTACTATATTAAAATATTAAAATTTTATTTATAGTTTCAAAACAGATTAATGTAATATGGTACCTGACGGGATGATTGCTCGATTTTGAGTAGCGAGTTAAAATTTAAATAACTAATGAATTTTTGTGGTATTACCTTTGTATTATATCACTTAATATAAGGATGGCTATACAGGCAGAGCGATATGATAAAGGTTACAGTGCTGCAACACATAAACAGATAAATGTTTGCATGAAGAAAGTGGTGCAATTGCTAAGGTCGTTTTTTCCTGCTGCCCTTCTCAGTTTTAGTCCCTGTTTGTTGTTGTCATTTTAGTTTTATCTGTTTAGCAATGAAATTGGTTACTTTAAGAGCTGTACTACTTGGTAAGGTAATCCTTTATTAAGGTCCTGCTGTTCTCGTCGACTATGCAGTCAGGACAAGACTGCAAGACAACAATCTGCACCAGTACGACATAGTTCTTTTCCAGCATCCCTTTTGGGTCATACTGGTAAGGAGACACTAGAGAATACTCAACCCAGTCTGTAATGACCTCTATTAGGCCTAGCTAGCTGCTACCCTCCAACTTCTGCTATAAGCACTAAAATCATGCATATTGCATTTTGGTTTGTCCCAGCCTTCTAATGTGTAGCAGAGAAATATGGATATTGGATACAGCCATGTAAGGTCTGGCACAGTCAAGTTTGTGCAGGTAGCTTAAAAGTAGACATGTCAGGGTACTGGGAAGCAGCTGTTGTGTCAACGCTTGCAGCTTTACCACTGATTGTAACATCGTGAGTCTGTTGGTACTTTACAACATTCTTAAACTTTCCCTGGGAAGATTGGGTAGGTGCCTGCGGTGGATATTTTTTGTTAATATATTTTCTGGTGGCCCAACCAGAAGCTATAGAGTGCGCTCCTTAGAGGTTTTAGAAATGCAGAGTTGTATAAAAATGAACCATTTAGAGCTCATTCTGGGTTTGCCTTGAGCTTTCTTCAGTGTCTTACCAGCACCAGTATGATTCATTAGATAGCTAGAAAATATTCCTGCTGCATTAGTGCAAAATGTTGACCTTCTGTAACTCATCATGATCCTATCATTGGTACTAGAGTAGGATCTTGCCTAAGGAAGCAATTAAATGTATGTTCAAAAAGGTATTTTTCACATACTTTTCTAGGCACTGTCTTAATTTTGTTGGTGTCGAGCTCAAATGATGCTTATTAGCTCTTGTCCCTAAACTAAATATATTTTAGTAAAGGCAATAACATTGTGTTGCCACTTTTACAGTTGTGTTGTGTCAGCACTGGTTGGCTGTGTACAAAAGACCCCCCTTGGCATCCCTCATATGCGTGGCAAGGTCCTCTTCAACATTGCAGAGGAGTTGCTTCGATCAGCCAGTCAGAATTCACGTTTGTCTTTGCATCGAACTCAAGCAGGCTGGCTGATAATTGGTTCTATTATGACACTAGGTATGTTGTCAACTTTTTCATGTTATGTTGAAAATGTCCACCCTAAAAGCACATTCATTTACCAATAGAGGGAAGAGGTGGTAGCTGTGTTGGAATTTAAAGCAATAGTTTTTATAAACTGCTCCTACCACTTAAAAAATACCAATATAGACAACTTGCAATTTGCATGGGGGGTTACATATAAAAAAAAATGCAAATTAAGAACTTCATATATTGAACAAATGTTTTAACATATATATTTAATGCTCCTACTGCTTTCTAGTCACAAATTCTCGCCAATTAATCCAGAATGCTAGTACAGTGTAATTATGCATAAATATGATCTAAAACCTATGTAAAACAGAAATGTAAGTTTGTTGGGGCCAAATTTAATCCTGAGAATATAGGAAACCTGTGGATAGTGTAGACTAGTTTGTGTTAATGCACTCTTGACCTGTGTAGCTAAAAAATTCACCCATTCACATCAAAATTGGGTATGAAAGTGCATAAGTACCTGCATGATTTTAAAATTTGTGCAGTCCAATGACGTAAAATTTTCCTGGCTGATCTTAATAATATATTTACCAAACATGTGTAACTCTTCACAATTGAAATAGCCTCCATATACTGTACAGTGGTGTCTGAAATGGAAGTGATATCAAGGGGAGATTGGATTCAGGATAACAATTATAATGGAATTAGTAACTTATACATTTATATCTACATTAAGTACAAATCAGGATAAACATATGAAAGCCAGATGACTGTAAAATGTTGTATTGTTTGAATGGGACAGTTTGTTTTGGTTTCTTTTTGCAGCAAAAGAACTTCCATTGCATTCTTGCCCTTTTTTCACTATTTTGTGACTAAAATACTTATGTTTCATTAGTGTATATGATAAAACATGTATTTCCACATATTGTACTGTACAGTATTTTGATAATCAAAATTTAATTGAAAAGTATTCTAATACAAAAAATACATTTTTACTAAAATGTATTTACTTTTGGTTTTTGCAACACCACATTTGGTGGAACGATTACAATACTGTACATGCTCACTTCACATGAGCTCACTTCGACTGGCAAGTCTTAAATCCTGTGGGTCCCGGGTTCTATGGCAACCGAAAACAATGGGCAGAGTTCTTAGAAATCATCAGTATCTTATTCAGAATTAAACTGTTTGTATTCACTCAAAGCCAGATTTTTGTTATTAAAGTATCAAAGAATGTCAAGTGATATACTGTATCTTAAAAAATTTAAATGAAGGACAGATATGATCTCGGAATTTTTTCTATTTAAAATTTTTGTATTTGTTTCTGCATTTCGTACTTTGGTTCAGGTGTTGGGGTGGTGCGTGGGCTGCTGCCTAGGATGTTGCTTCTGTGGAAGAACTCTTTCCCTAGATCAAGTAAAGAGATTGAGAGTGAGAAGGCTCGGGGAGATGCTTTCACATGGCAGGTTAGTATGGATCATTTATATTCTACTGTGTTTACTCTTGTTAACTTCAGGTTTGACTTTGTCATTGGTTAGATGGAAGCAGGAAACAATCTAACCAGTGTGTGTGTGTGTGTGTGTGTGTACAAAATTTTTGTCATGTAACTTTTAGGCCCTTACATTTACAATTCATGAAAAAAATTTTTGTTTTCCTTTAAAACCTTACTAAAGGTAGATTTACACATTTTGTTTAAAGTTGCAAGATGAAAAAGGAGGAATTCCTGAAATTACACATTTGTTTACAATGATTGTTTAGTTAGGTTATCCTTAGGTCTCGCCTCAGAGTACTGGCAAATCCTCTAAGTCTTCCATCAGTACTGCTGGTGTTTGCCAGTTTAGCTCTGAATTCCTACTATTTTCTTCCAGATTTGTAATTCCCTTCAAAACCTCAACAGAGGCTATTTTATAAATGCTGATTGTGGTTGCAATACTGTACTTTTTTTTTTTTTAGTTTATAATATTTATCTTATGGGGCTGAAATTTTCATCAGTAGGAGGTCTTACCAGTTCTATTTTGTGAAGAAAATATGATTGAAACTGAAAACTTTTAATTTCAGGGTATATGCTCCCTTAAAAGGTTTTCAATAAAAAAATCCTCAATACATTACTCACTTTAATATCATAGGCAATCCAAGCACTGATATGTATATCGAGCAATACTAATTAATGCCAAAAATATCAGCTTTAAATAATCCTGACTGAAAGCTCATTAGGGTGCTCGTAATTTCTCTCTAGGTAACTCTGGAAGGTAGAGCTGGTGCCCTGGCCTCCATGCACAGCTTTCTGCTTCACTGCTCGGAATTGGCTGCAGAAGACACTGTACGGAGACTTCTCCTCCCCATTGAGGCTGCACTTCTCATGCTTTCCAGGTATACTAGTTTCATTAAAAAAGTAAGTTTCAAAGTTTTCCTGAGTTAGACTGTTAAGTTGCTTCCCTAGCAATGTCCTGCTCTCCCAAGGCTTTGACCACACAACAGCCAGGCCAGGCCAGTAATCAATCAGTGCAGCAGGAATATTATAGATGTGTCTGCTAAGTTGTAAATGTAGGGAGGTAGCCAATAAAGATTTCTCAATCCAGCCCAGAATGAACCTCCATAAGATTCATTCATGTATTCTCAAAACGTTCTCCAAGCACCAACCTCACCAACTAGGCAGCAAGACCATTTGAAAAGTTTCTTGTCCTTGTGAGGTGCAGATTGACAGGACCTGATGTTAAGGCTGCATCCTTGGTGAACTTTAGGGTCTGGCACAGGGACCAACCTAGTGGCTGCTGAGAATGGAGAGCACCATATGATTCTGCATCGTGTTTTTGCTGTGGTGTTTTAATGTTGAGCTTCTATAATGTCCTTTAGCAAGTCTGGTAGATTTATTTATAGGTGCAGCATTTCTCATTTATTTTTAAGATGTGTTGTCATACTAAGTACAGTATACAATATGGTACTTGATTTGACTGTCGGCATTCTTGAAAATAACAATGTTCATCCATACCTCAGATATTCGTTGCATCTTATAATTTAGGTTTTGAATAAATTACTAAATACTCTTAATGTTTGTGTTTAAATTTGTAAGACATTCTTACAATAATCAGTAATTTTTGTTTGCTTTATTTGTGAAAAGTTTGATTCAATGGTTTTATTGTACAGTACCTACAGTATTACTTTTTATTATCTTCATTTGTCTTCAGTATTTTAGTAAGGAAAAAAATATTTGCCAAGAAATTGTGAGTGTTTTAACTTTCATATTTTTATTAATAAGTTATGAATGGTTAAAATACTTGAAGAATATTGCCATTATTATTATTACAACATATTTGCATAATTTTATTTATTTTTAATTTTATAATCCACAGTATAACACACATTGTGAAGCAGTATGGCCAGCACCTGAAGGCCTCGACGGCCATGGTGCGACTCCGCCTCTATGAAGTGCTCTCTCTCTTACCTCCTCAGTCATTTGAGAGTAAGTCTCTATACTCTTTTACTCTATTTTCTCACTTTAAACTTATGGTAAGTGTTTTAAAATTGGCATTAGGAACTTAAGGTTCATAAAAATTCATTGGTTGGAGTTGAATTGCAGTATTGTTTACATTTTTTCATACTGTTGCTATTGTGTAGGAATTTAGAGCCATGAAAATTATCTTTCCTAAGAAGGGTTATAACTTCGTTAATTCAGTTAAGATTTATGTAACCACATTCATTGTTAGAATGAAAGTTTGTTTTGACAAAGTAGAAGAAAGAAGACTAAGCATGCATCCGGCTCACAAATTCAAACAGGTATTATTGCCCTTGGAACAGGATCCCATATCCCGATTTAAAATGGTTTGGTGTTAGTATACCTGGTTGATACCTGGTTACCTGGTTGATACCTGGTTGATGGGGTTCTGGGAGTTCTTCTACTCCCCAAGCCTGGCCCGGGGCCAGACTTGACTTGTGAGAGTTTGGTCCACCAGGCTGTTGCTTGGAGCGGCCCGCAGGCCCACATACCCACCACAGCCCGGTTGGTCCGGCACTCCTTGAAGGAAACAATCTAGTTTCCTCTTGAAGATGTCCACTGTTGTTCCTGTAATATTTCTGATGCTCGCTGGTAGGATGTTGAACAACCGTGGACCCCTGATGTTCATACAGTGTTTTCTGATTGTGCCCATGGCACCTCTGCTCTTCACTGGTTCTATTCTGCATTTTCTTCCATGTTGTTCACTCCAGTACGTTGTTATTTTACTGTGCAGATTTGGGACCTGTCCCTCCAGTATTTAGTCATTATTTGTATATATTTATTATGCTTGTGCTAGTTTCTTTTTTTATGTTTTAGTATATTCAGTTTTGTTTTTATTAATAATAAATACACAAGGAAATCACTTTTATTGTGATATATCAAAGAGGAAATCAATCCTCTGCATTGCTCCAATTGATTTTCTCAGTAAATACAGTACTGTATAGGGTTTGGTCGTCGGTTGTCGGACACTCGTGGCAAAAAAAAAAAAAATAATCTGTAGCTCCTGCAGCATTGGATCAAAAGTACAGTACATCCAAAAGTTCTGTCTTGGTCTTGTAGGTGGTAGGGTGTATCCAAGTGTAAACTGGCTGCCGATAGCTGGACGAATGTATTTGGTATGTAGCAGCACAGTGCATCAAGCACTCATAGTGTTGTTGAGATATGAATGGGAAATAAGCCTGCTTTGGGAGACCTGTGAAATGCATTCCTGTTTATTTTCATGTAATTTTAATCTTGATTTGTGCAAATTTGCTTCACACAAAGTTTTCAGGTATGGATTTCTTGCACAAATCAAGGGATTACTGTACTGTGTCCTGTGCCTCTTGTTTTAACTGTCTGTGATGACTTGGGTCCTGGTGATGTTGGAAAATTACTGTGTTACAGTAATACAGAACAACTACTGTATTACTGTAGTCCAGAAATACAGTAGTTGTATTCAAGTAAATTAATGTTCTTTTACAATAATATCTAAGATAATGCTTTCAATTATTCTTCAAACAGCTTTGAAAGTTGTTTGAATTTGCAGTTAGTTTTGTGTTGATCCGTGTCATATTATGTTTATTGCAAATCATTTACTTGTCAATGATAGCAGCAGCACGGTTAACACTGATGTTTAAATAATTTAACCAAAGGTAAAAAACAATAAATTTTTTCATTGTATTGTTTGATCTGACTGGAGTATTCCACCAGGTCACTACACAAGTATACTGAAGCTGCTGGTGAGTGAGTTCACACTGGCAGAGAGTGGTGCCAACACCACCACTTCCCTCCTGCGCACCATGTGTCATGCTGATGACTCTGTCATACTTGGCACCTGGCTACATCACACACATCATAAGTCAATTGAGGATCAGGTAATAGCAGTTTCCATTTGTGATAGTTTATTACCATACGAGTATGAGTTATATATTTTTTGGTTATTATCAGATGATCTGTATTACTTAATAAATTATACTGTACAAGGGGGTCCTCGGCATATGAATAATTAGTCTTACTGTGTTTATATACTGATAACCTCAAGATGGCATCCCAAGTCCACATTTTAACATCAGGATCTGTTATATGAATCAGCTCTGTCTTCCTCTGTAATGTGAACAGTGCTACTTTTGTGTCTGCATGGTCACTAGACTGTTTGGTGTGCTATAAAATGTTTGCATTGCCTCCCCGACCGGGGAGCTGGTCGGCCGAGCGGACAGCACGCTGGACTTGTGATCCTGTGGTCCTGGGTTCGATCCCAGGCGCCGGCGAGAAACAATGGGCAGAGTTTCTTTCACCCTATGCCCCTGTTACCTAGCAGTAAAATAGGTACCTGGGTGTTAGTCAGCTGTCACGGGCTGCTTCCTGGGGGTGGAGGCCTGGTCGAGGACCGGGCCGCGGGGACACTAAAGCCCCGAAATCATCTCAAGATAACTTCAAGATAAGAGTGCTATTCTTACTTCCGTAAATGAAAAATGTCTGGAGAGTAGTGACGTTTGGTACTAAGCGTGCGAATAAAGGGGCAGGCAGTCTGGAGCCCTGGGTGACTTGAGCTGCCACCTGGTGGTATGCTTGGATATTAGCAGAGGGTTAGTTGACATTTGAAAAAATACGGCTTCCCCTTATTTCCATCTTTTGTCAAGACACGTAGTTTATTTTGCTTCACCTGTACTTTCTGGGCAGAGTACTCGGGTAAGAAGTTGATCTTGGATCCTATGCTGCTTTTGTCTCTCTGAGCACACCAGATCCAGGGCATGGTGTTTAGAAGGCCTGTGAAAGTCCACATGCCTGGTAGCTTTATGGCTGTCTGTGGTACCAGCCCAGAAAATATAAATCTGTCTCCATTCCTCTACTACATGGCATGACCAGTTACAATTTTTAATTGTTAATAATAATTAAATTAAAAAGCAAAAGTAAGGAAAAATACAATTTGATGGAAATTATTTCATGTGATAAACAGATGACCTCATTTCAGTGTTCCCCACTATTATTTTTTTAATTTGACTTTTGCAGGGAAAATCTGGTGGGGGCAGGTGATGATTTTTATGTTTTGAAGGATCTATTATATGGAGGTCCTATACAGTATTATGTTGTACATTGAATTGGGAATGGTTAAGTATTCGTAAATTAAAATTTTTTTTAGGATTTTAATCTGAAAATTTAAACATTTAAATTTGTACTGTCCTGTACAATGTAATTTTCAAATTCTGCTAAGGTTATTTTTTCAATACAGTTACAGCCAAACAGTGCGAGTGGTTCAGGAGCTCTTGAGCACGATCCAACGTTTCTCTACCGTCCACTGCCTGAAGGGGAGGCCATTGCTGGCCCCTTGCCCCTTGGTGTAACAGTCATTGATGCCTCGGTTGTGCTGTTTGGGCAAATGTTCCCTCTGGTGGCAAACAAGCACAGACTTAAGGTAAGCGGATTGTCTTGTCTGACTGACTGCTGACTTTTACTATATGGGGTAATAACTGATGCATATTGATGACCAGACCACACACTAGAAGGTGAAGGGACAACGACGTTTCGGTCCATTCTGAACTATTATCAAGTCGATTGTATAATAGTAATAATATATATTACTCTAGTGTGCTAAGAAATATATATTGAATACAGTATACGGTACAGTATATATATTTCCACTAGAAGGTATATAAAGTTACATGGTAGGAAAATAGTAATCCAATTTCCTTAATGTTTGTTGCTGTACAGTATTTGTAGAATTGGGCTCGAAAGTCAATTTTGCCTCCACTGCTAGTATGCATTCAAGTCTGTATTTGCATATACAGCATGCTTAACATTATTTACACATTATTGTAGTGGCATTATTGTTCTTTTATAAATTTAATATATTCTCTGATATTAGCAATTAATATTTTGTTTACAGTATTTACATAACAATAACACTTGTTTACATATCAGCAAAGTTTAAAAAACAAAATTTGTTTTGAGCTTAGATTGAATTGGCAGCAAAGGTTACACTTCATACTCCTACTTCTCGTCACATGATAAAACACATAATAAAGTAGTGCTCATCTCCAGGTCAAGGGCCGGGGTTAATTTTATACTGGAAACTAATGACTGGCATCATGTTTGTAGAACATGGACAAGGGGGAAAAAGCAAGAGCTGTTGATACTGCAGATCCTACAGAACATCTCATTTTTTGTATATACAGTACTTAGGAGGATATTATTTATCTTCAATATATTACTTTCTTGATCTTCTCTCACCAGTCTTCTAAAATTAGCTTGTAATTATTATATTTTTAATTGTTTTTCTTTTTCCAGATGTTAAATTTGTTTGGCGACATGATTCGAGCAGCCAAGAGTCAACGCCAAGAAGCAGTCCAAATGAACATCTTCACAGCTGTCCTTAGTGCTCTTAAGGTACTGAGTGACAACAAGGCATCCTTTGGTCAAGACGACGTTAAAAAAGCTGCAACAGCTCTTCTGTTGGTAGGTATCATTAGCCATAGAAGCTTTGTGTAACCTTTTCCAACTTTTGTCAACAATGTGACAACTTCAGGAGTATATACTATAGACACAGGTATACTAAGCTTACATTCAGAAACCGACATTTACAATTGTGGGCTTGCCTCACCCTATGATTCACGTAACCACAATAATCGTAGAGAGCGCCGAGTATTTTCTGATTAAAAACTTGATCAGTGTAATGCATTACTAAATCAGAAATGTTTGCAAAACATGGAATACTATAAACAAAAAATTAAAACCAATAAATATATAAAATGGGCCAAGCAGCTCAATACTGAGTCATAAGTTTCCCACTGCATAGAATATCATAAGTAAAACCAAAAAGCATTCTCACCAATGAAATTGATGAATCTTATTTGCAAATTTAAGGCCAAAATTAATTGTCATTTAATTTTTTGTTTCTCAATTTGTTGTATCCCTTGTTTTTGCATATTCTTATCAGAATATTGTAATTCTGATAAGAATAAAATATTCTCTATAATTATCATTAATCATTATAGCATGCACAATGGTGAAGGATTCTTGAAAAAAAGAAAAAGAAAATGGTTACTTGAATTCACACAAGTTGTAAATCGATTTCATTATGTATTATTATATTTTATATACACAGTACTGTCTCTAACATTCACAATGTGTTTAACAATGTTCCTTGATTATGTTGAAAAAAGTAGAAATATGTGTGTGTGTGTGTGGGGAGGGGGGGGGTTGAGGAAGTCAATCATAGCAGTTGAGATTTGATTGTCACCTTCAAATGACAGCATATACTAGACCCAGGTTCCAGTTTTGAAGTTCGGATGATATGGTTGATGACATGATAGGATATTGAAAAAAATTTCAAAGCACCTGGGCAAAAGTTGATTGTGCCAGAGAATAATTTTCACTAACGACCAAATTGACTAACTCAAGAGTTAGGATTAAGAGATTCCTGAAGATTAATGTACTACTATGTTGTTTTGTTTGAAAATGTTTCTTTTCAGGGTGTTAGGGGGCAGTGGAGGCACAGCACTTCCAGGCGTTTATTCATCTGCTTGTATTTTTTTCACTGATGGTTTACTAGTGGAGGCAAAAACTAGTGTTGCATTGGCAAAGCTGTTCTTCTGTATTTTAATTGAAATACTATTTTGGTTGTTAAGTAAATGAAAGAAAATTAATATTTTTTCTAGGGAGGTTTAACACACCCTAACTCAACTCTGCGGTGTGCATCAGGCGAAGCCATTGGTCGTATGGCCCAGGTTGTAGGAGACCCCCGTTTTGTGGCAGAGATGGCTCAGAACAGTTTTGATAAGCTAAAAAGTGCACGTGATGCTGTAAGTCGTACCGGTCACTCTTTGGCATTAGGATGTTTACATCGGTATGTTGGAGGAATGGGCTCTGGCCAGCACCTCAGTACCTCCATCAGTATTCTTCTGGCACTTGCAAAGGACACTACCTCTCCTGTGGTACAGGTAAATATACATATGTAGCATTTGATTTTCATAGTTGTATTGTTTTTAAATAATTTAACCACTGCACTGTGCACCTGTTTAATATGGCAACTTCGTGGTGTGCTCCAAAAAATGTATACAGTATATTAAATTTGTTTGATTTTCTTCTAATATTAGTAAAATGCATTCCCTGATCATGAGAAACTAAAAATTATTGTAAGTAGCTCACTTTGGCTATGTTGGACAGAGGAAAATTGCAATATCACTGATTCGAGACTGGTAATGAACGAGACGCCTGTGGAGGTCACTGGAGCTAGACGAGTGGTAGGAGTTGTCGCGAATATATTTATAATGATTTATTTCAGTATCATTGATTTGTATTTTTCACTGCATTTTTGTAGTTACATTAAGCATTAGTGTGTAATTTGAGAATTATCTATGAAGTTGTGCAGGACATTGATACACATTCAAACACATCCGTGTCATTAATATGCGCATAAAAAAAGTTCGAAGTCACTAATTGTGAAAAGTGAAAAGTTCCTGCATATCTTTCTTCCGTACAGTGTACATGCATATTACACGTGCATTTGTAATGATCCATCCCAGTTCTGATTGAAAATGATTGGAAAGGAGGGAAGGATAATTCAAGTAACTTATGGTTATTTTGATTGCTTGGAACCCAATCTATATTTTAGATTGACACCATTTCACACTACGATGCTTTTAGTACAAAAATCAGTGAAAGTGTGACACATTTAAGAAAAGAGCAGGCAGAGGAGGTTTTAAGGCAGCTATCAACCATTTTTCAGTTTTGGAAATGTTAGTGATAACTCTCACACTGCCCTATCACAAAGCTGGGATGCTGGCTGCCACCTCCTTCACAATGCTGCTAGCTAATGGTGACAGCAGGAGAGTTAGCAGATGAACAAGCCAGCTAGTAGTTTGCAAGGAGGCATTTTGCAGTCTCAGGGTTCCCAAGGAGGGCTTATAAAGTGTTTTGTGTGTTTAGTGTTCTGCACCTCACTTTAGCTGGATGATATCCACCAGTACTTCCTAGTACCAGTATGACCCTGCAGGAATGCTTGAAAACTTCTTTGTGGCACCGATACCTCAAGAGTTGGTCTGCCTGACTGTGCAATTTGCTCAGCTGTTGACAGTGGAAAATTACCTTAGGTAGGAACTAAGTGAATCTGCTCAGAAATTTTCTGCTCATGTAAACCTAGGCTCATTTTTGCACTAAGAATTTAAAATTGTCTGCTTTTGTCAGGTTTGGGCTCTTCATGCATTATCCCTTATTGCCGACTCAGGGGGTCCAATGTTCCGCTCGTATGTTGAACCTTCACTAGCCTTGCTTCTGGAACTTCTGCTTACTGTTCCTCCTCACACAGCTGAGGTTCATCAGTGCATTGGAAAGTGTCTCCAGGCTCTTATTACTACTGTTGGTCCAGAGTTACAAGGCAAGTTTTACCTTTGTATACATGTATAATTATTCTCCATGTCTTTCAAAGCTTTAATAATTTGTTGGTACTTAAACTGGATTATATTGTTAAATCCATAAATAGTTAAACAAGTTTGTATTCTCAGTATAAATAATTGATTGTTCTCTAGGTACCAATAGCAGTGTTGTCATGGTGAGATGGTCTCTCCTGTGTGGGTGTGGGCTGGTGCAAGAGCATCCTGATCCATTAGTGCAAGCTGAGGCTATAGCATGTTTGCAGCAGATGCACATGTTTGCCCCCAGGCATGTCAATCTCTCCTCGCTCGTCCCCATGCTTGTGGTGAGTTGCCAAATTATTCTATATCTAATATTTAGAGGAAAACTACAATCTACAATCATGTATACAATTATACATAAAGATGTATGGTGTAAATAAGATTAAGTTCCAAAATTCTACTGGCTATCTTAAAAAAAACATAAAAACTTAAATATTTTATTCCATTTTCCAGGCAAAAATTTGGCAAATAATAAAGTGCTTGGGATGAATGATGTGGGAAAAAAGACCAACAATATTTGATAAACACAAGAATGTAAGGTTTGTGCAAGCCTGACTGACTGTAGAGAATTATATTGATCAAAAGACTAGTGACATGGCATGCCCAAACGCATTAATCCAATCTAAGCCTGCATAATTTTGAAATTCACCTGTGCACTTTGAAATATGGTGTACAAGTTCTTTTCTCAGGCAACAACTGAGGTCAGAAGGTAGAAATGATTGAGTTTCCAACTTAAATTTTATTCACAAAATGCTGAGCTTTTGCACCATTGAGTGATAGGTGATGAATTCCCCTATTTCTTAGCTCTTCATGCTGTTTACGTACTCCTATTAATACACAATTCAGCTCACGGCTCCCTCATCTTTCAATTTCCTGGTTCAGATAAAGTTAATTAATTTTATTTAGTTGAGTATAATTGTGTACTGCACTAAGTTGATTGCATCACTCCATGTCAACTTCATTATATTATTTGGTTGTCCTCAGTCAAGTCATAGTACCTGCTTGCATTGGTTTATGGGTACGTGTTTACAAATATTTGTACGGTTGTGTTTGTGAATGTGTGATCATGACCCTAATTTTTTTTTAAATTCCTCGGTGACCTGTCAACATATTTTGATAAATTGATTGGCTCCTATTTAAGCCAATTAATATGTGCACAAAATCAACACATTTATTACCATTCATTTGTTTATTATTGACAAGCTGCACAATGCTGAATAAGGCATCTAGATTGATCAGGGTTGCCTTAGGGAATTTGGGTGTCTAGAATGAATTAAAGCTAATATTGTTGTAAATTAATGTATGTGTATTATCTTGTATCTTTTTAACAACAGAAAAAGTTGAGCTGTGATCATCTTCTACTGCGTCGTGCTGCAGTGTCATGTCTGAGGCAATTGTCACAACGTGAAGCCTGGGAGGTGTGCGAACATGCCCTGAGCCTTGCTCAGGGCTCAGATGAGCAGGACCAAGGTACGTGACTCGAGTATAATTATTATTTTAATATTAAATTGTCATTGAAATTTCATTATTTATGAAGATAAATAATCTTGCAGTACTCACTGCATAAGTACTCATCTACTTGTGCATCGGGTACAAAACTCAGTGTTACCTATTAGTGAGTTCAGAGAACAGGTCCAAATTTTCTCCACCTGGAAATGCAAACAAGAAACTTTGAGAATGGGTTAATGGACAAGTGCAAAATGGAACCCAGCCTATTTAGTAAATTGATTAAAAGTAAACAATATTGAAAGATAAAATCCAAAGTGGAAGGGTAAGAGATTCATGGAGGCAGAGAAGGAAATATTCAAGAATAAAGCTGGAAAAAAATTGTTAACCTGGAGAGCGTGCAAAGATCTTTTACTGTTAGAATCCACTCAATAAAACATCTATGAGAGGGACCAGTGATTGATACTGGTCCCTCTCTCTGGCTTCACTATGGTGGTGATAATTTTGCTCTATGGTCTCATGATTGTAGAGCACTTGCATATCAGGATGTATAAATGTAGCAGGTAATTATGCATTAACTAGGAAATAAGACTAAAGAACTACATCTCACTCATCTTACCCACAATTAAACAAGCACACAGCTTCATATACAGTACATAATTACTGATCTTGAGAGCTTTGATCATTAAGATGGAATTGGTTGATATATAATCCAGTGTTAATAATATTAATTCTTTTAAATAATAGGTACTAAATAGGCAGATAAATGTGCAGCAATAATGCGCTGAACCAACATGATGGTAATATGAAGGGAGGTTAAGTTTGGGTTTGTTCTGACAATATGAATGAAAAGATGAGTCTGAAGCATGGTTCATATTTTCTTAAAAGACCAACTTTTAGATTTAACATTTTATACTAATTCATTATTTTGTATAAAGCTTTTGAGTCTAGTTATTGAAGCACTTAGAAAATTGGTAACCATAGTGCAGACTAAAAGTTTAGGAATTAATTTTTAACTTTTGGGTGCTAAATGGCATTTGGTTTTCAAGTAAACCTAATTTTAATACATTTTAGAAAATGGCCATACTAAATGCATTATCAATGTTTTACATCATTTTCCTTGCTGTATAGCATATTTGATGACTGAAAAAAATTGGTGTTAATTTTTTATTCTTTATTTCAATTTCCAGGGTTAGTTATGACAGAAACAGGACTTCCAGGCTTGCTGTTTGGTCTGTTGGACACAGAGACAGACTGCGTGTTGGTACGTCATGTGCATCACACTTTGACATCCATGTTGCAAGCTCTGGCAACCTCCCACCTCAACCTGTGGCTTACTCTTTGCCGAGAGGTTCTCACTAGTGCATCAGGTGAGAGGGACTCTACAAGTTATGAAGTGTAAAGGTATTTCACTGACTCTAGACCAGCTTATTAATAATAGCACCCATGACAAGTATGTTTAATGAGATAAGTGACTTAGAAACTGGTTACTAGTCACAGATCTCATAGGCAGTTTTAAATCTTGGATTATCACATTTTGAGTTTTAAATTTAGGAGGTTATGACTTAGTCTCATCAAGGAAAAATTCCAACGGTTTTTTAAAACAACTTTTCGAAATTGTTATTAATAATGCTTTCTTATTAATTTTCATTTTTGTTTAATATCTAATCAACATAGAAATAAAAACTGCTGCTAAGTGTAAGTGAAAAGCTAATTTCTGAGCAAGTTGGCATATGATCATAATAGTCAGAGCTGAAAAGGTTCTTCACCGTTGCAAAATGGCTCTTTTCCGACTTCACTGTTTGGTCACATTGATGCTAGGAAGGAAGTGGAGAATATTATAGTTATCTCAGAATGACTACATAGTTAACTAATAAATACTCAATGACTTAAAATTCTCACCATTTTCTCCAGTACTGTATTTTCAAGGCCACAGCCACTAAACATTTTTTTTGAAAGGTATTGCTATAAATCCAGAAGAATGAAAACTGCTTGCAATTCAAAACCAACCATAAACCTGTAGTTTAACTATGTTCAATGGTTTTCCTATGGTACCTACTACTACTACTATTGTGTGTCTTTAGGAACTCATTCCAAGCAGTACTAAAGAAGATGCCATGCATGCCCTTCTTTTTCCCACGCTTTATGGGCAAATTTTAATGCAAGTCTTCAATTTTGAAGTCACATGAAGTATATCTACTTAGGTGAACCTGAGTGTACAGGATTTTCACTCATTACCAGTATTTTGCATGCACTAATCATTAAACTTAATTTTTCAAAGATAGCTCTATGGCTTTTCCCCTAGGGTGTGAATAAATTGCATCAACCTGAAATTCAAAACCAGTCATCTGATTTTTTCCAAAACAAGGTCATTGTCTTTCCCACTGCCCAAACTGTATTCAGAAAGATAAACTCTTGAGTACTTACACTCTGCTAGAAGTCATTCTTCCAGAATGCCAGATGCAAGTAAAGTTTTTGCTACATTGCAAGATAAAAAGATATCAGATGCAACAGAAATTTTCAGCCATGTTCTATCCAAACTGGCAGGTATTCTTCTGTGAAGTGTTTCCTCAGTATCTCCTCAATACTTCAATCTGTCGAAGATCAATCCTTGGGAAAACATACCAGGTCTCTACCCACAAGCACCTACTGGGGGCCAGGATCAGTATCTGGCCTGCACCTTGTAGAGGTGAAAGGGACCTTAGGGATCAGAGATCTACACAAAAACCTAGAAACCCCCTCACCGTAAAGCCAAAGCACTCCAAATTAAACTACTACTTGGAAATAATAAACATTATCAGAATATTAAAATAGAAGTAATTTACAAGGTGATACTGGCCTGTGTAAGACTCCATATTAAAAGCTATAAACAATTGTCATTTTTCAGAGAGTGGGACAAATGAAAACCCTGGAGAGACAGGTGAAGAGGGGGCTGATGATGACATGGTTCAGATCCACACAGGAGGGGATCCTGACCCTCACCCTAGCATCCCTCCCCGTTGGACTACTCGTGTGTTTGCTGCTCAGTGCATTGCCAGAATTATCCAAGAGTGTGAAAACAATCGTGCACACTTTGATTTGGCTCTTGCCAGGGAAATGCAGACGACAAAAATGAAGGGTAAGCTTTGCCTCTGTATGCTTGAGGCACAGTGCAGTGCAGTGGTTAAACATAATTGGAATTTTGATCCCCATACAAATAGCGATAAGTTTTATATGCTTTATCCTACAGGAGACTATTTGGTGCTGCACCTGAGTGAGGTGGTACGTATGGGCTTCATGGGAGCCACCAGCGACAGTGATGAGTTGCGACTAGAAGGCCTTCACATCCTACACCGGGTCATAGGCAAATTTGCTCACATTCCAGAACCAGAATTTCCGGGTCATGTGATACTTGAACAGTATCAAGCTCAGGTGATGAGACAGTTGACAATTCTGTTAGATTTTGATTCTCCTTTGCTGACCAAATAATCAATTTGTAAACATTTCCTTTTTAACTTTTTCATTGCTACACCAATTGTTCAACACCAATTCATCTGTACAATAAAAAAAAAATATAGTACATATTTAATACAAAATATGGTCCAATAAGCATAATCGTCAAATTATTATATTGCTCTCTTGTTTCTTCTGGGCAACCACTATTGATTGACCTTTAGCAGTGAAAGGATTAACAATGTTTTATTATTTGGATTGTTATGAACCATTTTGAGGGGTGTTCTTTTTGTAATCGGTAACCATTTGCTTTCATTTTCAAAGTGGAAATTGTGAAAATTTGATGAAATGTTTGTAGATACAGTGTAATATCATCCCTCTAGGATTTTCTCCTGCCTGATAATTGAAAGGTTTCCTCTTCCATTTAGTACCTTGTGACCAGTCCTTTTTTTTCAGCACCCACTTCCATTACTTTATAATTGAGATAAATAAATTGATTACTTTTTACAATTGAGATACTGTAACAAGTCTAATAACTTGTTGGACCATTTTTTTCAGTTTGTCCTGGAGTTTCTTGTTATCTTCCACTATATTGATCTTCCGTATAATATGTTTGCATAAGCAAACATATTATACGGAAATTTTGAAACTCCCCAGGTTTCTCCTGGGGAGGATTGGGGGTTTGAAATAAATTTACTGATGGTTTTGATGGTCGGCACCTCATTGAGGTCACACACCAACAAAGGAAAAATCTGGCCTTAAAGAGTAATAGTCAGCATTTCAGAAAGTTCTTTTTTCTATACACACAAGCCTTTTTTTATTTTACTTTTTAATTGATATAAAATAAAATAGTATGCCTCCCACTGTCATTTGCACTAAATGGAGAGTAGATGCCATAGAACGTTAGATATGCTTGGAAGGGTCAAGCGCCATTTGTTCTTTTGGGTGGTAATCTGTTCCATGTGAATTGTAACAATATGCAAACTTGCTTATTTTTTTTGGTAGGTGGGTGCTGCACTTCGACCAGCATTTGCTCCAGATACAGCATCTCACGTAACAGCTCGTGCTTGTGAAGTGTGCAGTGCCTGGATATGTTCAGGTATTGTATTCAAAGATAGCTTTATGAGATAATAATATATATATACCTTAAATAAAGAAATGGTATTGGTTGGTGGTATCTGCTACCTTTTTTTTTTACCATTTGCCTCTTTGTTTAGCACATAATATATTTTATTTATAAATATTAATAGTTTTGGTAATTGGCATATGTATGGTGTAAGAATTCTTCAGAATTTAAAATAGCAATAAGAAGTTGAATCTCAGTCATTCCTGCAGATACAGTACATCTATTAAATATATTGTGTAATATTCTCAGATTAATCTACTTAATTGTTTCATTCATTAAATATTGAGGGATATTTAAGTGTCACATGTCTTTCCAGGTGTTGCTCGAGACCTGAATGACCTTCGCAGAGTTCACCAGCTGCTCGTGTCATCTCTGGCCAAATTAAATAAAGGCAATACCAAAGGACTTTACAATGAAAGTGCTGCCACACTCGAGAAACTTGCTATATTAAAAGCATGGGCAGAGGTTAGTTGAGAGAAGTGCTCTTTTAGTAGTTTTTCATGTCTGACAAATTCTGTGCATTGCATTTAGTCCAGATATTACCTTTCATATTGCCCTGGTGACATTCTTCCCTGAAGAAATTAAGTCTTGATTTACCCTTAGATAACTCCTTATATCCTACATATTCTTAGGTATGTAGAAAACTACATACAAATACTCAAAGTAGAAGACATGGTTGTCACATAGGTGAAGCAATTATTACCCGATTGCATTAAGAACAAGAATGTGAATAAGAATACGAGGATGACCTTATGTGATTCCAGGCAGTACAATACTGCTTCCCTTCATGGGTGATGAAAGTCAGGTGCACCATTACCTATTTGCATGCTGTATTTACAACTGCTGTAATAATAATAAAATACAATTTACTTTGAGCCTTCATTTCCATGGGGTTAAATTTTGTTAGTTTGAAGACAAGGTGTTAGCCATTTCCTACTGAAGTTGAGTTTTCCAGTATACACATGAATGTAGTTACTATACTGTAAATGATAATACAATACATGTATAATTACCAGTCACATGAATTCATCATTCAATTTTCTTTGTGATCATCAATTGGTACAATTGTTTCTTCAGGTATATGCAGTGGCACTGAAAGGTGCAGGTGGGTGTGAGAAGGCAGATGAACAGGATGATAGACCTGAGGCAGAAACTGCGTTACAATCATCTGAAGAGAGCTTACTGAGTTTGGTTCAGCCAGAGCTGATGTCTCTGTCCAAGTCTTGGTTGGCAGCTCTTAAGGATCATGCTCTTCTGTCCTTACCACCAGGTGGGTGCCTGTAAATCATGAGCATTATTAAATTTACTAACAATGGTATATATATTGAATAATTTTATGTCCAGAAATTTAAAAATACTGTACATAGATTAAGTCATTACCAAGCAGTGTATTTTTTTTAGATTAGGTCTATACCAAGCAGTGTATGTTTGTATTTTTTTGCTTTGATACAAATGACCCAGAAGCTATTGAATGTTAAAACACATAGCCAGATTAATGTCTTAGGTTGCGTGGTAAATAAGTGAAATGAGCTTGAACCAGAGGTGGCGGAGGCAACTATCGTTCAGAGCTCCAAGAGCAAGTTTGAGAGAGCACTGGATACTATAGCTACAAGCAGGGCTTAAGAGCCGAGCTTTTTTCATGCACTATATCAATTTTTTTTGGCAGTCTATCTCATCTTTCTTCCTCTTGCTATATCATGGTGTTCTTGTCATAAATCTTATCAAGTCTTTTTAAAAATTTGGTACTTTCTAGATGCTCTATCAATTGGTATATACTTGATTATTTTCTCATTACTTTGATTGGATGCATGATATCAGTCTGTAGTTTAGGTCTTGCTTCTATATAAACTATTGGAGATAATCCATGACTGATTAGTAGAGTGAATCATTGGTTGCGCTTTATTTAAGAATTAATGGCTTTTAAACTTGTATATCTCAGATATCATCACACTTAAAGCTTATGCTTCCATTCTAAAAATAAAATTTGACAAGGGAAATTATGTAAACTTAATGATTTATCCTTTGTTTTTTGCCTATACACAAAATGTACAAGGGAACACAACAGATCAAAAGTGTTTTCTGACATAGTTTTTATAGTTGGCTTTTATGTCTTTGTAATGACATCAATACTAGAAAAGAAACTGGTAAACAAGGACCTTTATGTGATTAGAAATTAACCTTATAATTTTGATAGAAAAGTATACCATTTAAGGATGCACTAATTTAAAATTTCTTAAATTTAACAATGTTAGTTACAGGCTACAAAATGACATGTCAGTAAATGAAATGCCAAACATTTTTTTTTTTTTCAGAATTTTCAAGTCAATTACCTCATGATGGAGGAGCCTTCTACTCAAATGAATGTGTCGAGGGCGTACGGCCATATTATCGTAGTGCCTGGCCTCCCATGCTGTATGCTGCAGCCCTCTGGCTTGGTGCAGGAGGTTTTGATAAAGCTGTAATAGATGAGAAAGACGAGTCAGATGCAAGTCCTTCAGTAGCGGCTGTGTCACCTAACACCACTACCGCAACAACAACAGTAGTCAAGAGCCCAGAGGGCTTCAATACTGATCGCTTCTATCTTCTTTTAGGTGGGAATCACTTCATTCACATTTAATTTTATCTCTGTCTCTTCTTTCTTAGCTTCTTTTTATAATTACTTAGAGTTGGTTCTCTTACAGCTCTTATCAGGCTAACAGTACACATTACAATTAAATTTGACTAGAAATCATGAATAAAGTTACTTTAATCATTTGGCTGTGAAGGTTGATACTTGTTGCTAAATTCTCCTTTAGTGCTGATATTCATTTCCCCACCTCCATAGAAAAACTATAATGTACATTGTAAAAGTAGACATTCATTTGATAAGCTTGATACATTTAAAAAAATCCTAGTACATGCTGCCATTTGGCAGTGACACCAAAAACACTGTTCTTCTTATACCACCATCCAACCTTTCTCAAAAACATATTTCACAAGAATTAACCTCTATATCATGTTGTCTATATAAATCGTGTAAAATCTGATGTCTGGAGCACCAAAACATATTGAAGCCTGTTATATATATTAGCATGTATGCCGTAAAGAAAATACTCTACAAGCAAAAAGAATGTCCTCTTTTGAACGCAATTAGTCCACAAAAAGAGGGGACTACCGAGCTCTTGAAGTATAGCTACTTTAAGCACATGGTGACTAGAACTCCCTTAATTGTTATACAAATTTGTTATTTTTAACTCCCAACATTATGAAACTTTGATAATGTTTCACAATTGACTTGATAATGGTTCAGGACGGACCAAAATGTCGTCGTCTCTTCATCATCTAGTGTGTGGTTTGGTCAACATTATGAAACTTTGTTTATATAATTATCTTAGTTCATTTATGATGACATGGTTGAGTTGATTGTTTTAAGGAATAAAAAGAGGGCTGCAGGAAGCAGCTGGCACAATCTTTTCAGCTGCTGATTGCTGCCAACTCTCTTCCCTTCACAATTCCTCCTGGAAAAAAGTGGCCAAAACGTGTGTACAAAAAATTCATTGCTGGGCCCTGACTGGAGCAGTGTGTGATTCATGGATCTTAATGTCTGTATTTATTGGTCTTGTCAGCCCTTGTGTGGTAAGTCCTAGTGACATTGAAGTAGAGGGACGTCTGCAGTCTTTTCAGAAAGCCTGTTGAAGGTATACTTTTTGTGGTTTCCTAGGGTTTCCCAAATGTTGCTTTTAACCGTCTGCCTCGAGCGTTCATCAGCATTAGAAGCTCTGGCTTTTGTGTGTGGTTCACTAATGACTCGAAAGTGCATGTCAACATTACATTAGTGGGTTACCTTTTGGTTCAGTTTGGTGCCTATAAATGAGGGGCAGTGTTTTAAGCAGTTTCATGAGAAAGGGGCAAAAACATTGAGGACCAGAGTTCACCCAACCCAAATCTCTCTCGTAAGTGAAAGTGATCCCATACCCAACATGAGGCATGCCAGAGAAAATAAAGGTGGCCATCTGGTTCAAATAACACTGATGAACATCCCTGTAAACTGCACACACAAGAGTCAGTTTCAGTACTGTATAATCTCAAAGAAGATAACTCTGAGGGCTGTCAGCCTTTGGCAGTTGGTGCCAGTGAAGATAACACTGAAATAAAGCTGAAGTTCATAGCTATAATCAGAGCCAGGCAAATGCCAGGCCAGCACACTATTAAGGAAAAGCATGGTACCCCTTTCACAGAGGACTGTCTCAATTGAATCTGCTTCAGCATAGCTAGGTGTGAAGTAAGTGGATGCCAAGCAAAAAATAAGGGTTTCTGGATCTTGCAAATGCTGTTGCAATAGTTTGTGGGGTTGGTGTACTGAGTAAGCCATTTTGATCCAATGATCTCATGTAGTGGGTATTAATTGGTTTGCTTATATTCAATTGTCATACAGCTAGGGGTCACTGGTGGATGTGTTGGTGGATTGAGATAACCTCATCACTATCAACCCCAACTACATGATTAGACAATTTGAAAAGTTCCTTGTCGCAGTAGGCAAAAGGTTGACAAGAACTTGGCATGCGAGCAGTGTTCTGGGTGGATTCTAGTCCTGACTCTGGGAGGAATCAAGGAGACCTGCTGAGAAATATAAATTTGACCCAAAATGATGCAGTCAAATGAGAATATGCAGCCAGAGAGTTAAGGAATGGTTTGTTCATCATTTCTGCTTATAAATGAAATAGTTAAAATGGCTCTTAACAAGAATAAAAATTATAACTCACAAGTTGTATTTTTGAAGCTAGATATTTATTTGCATCTTGCAGGAATATGTTTAGAGTGGCTTTGCAGTCCGCTACATAGTGATGACCCCGAGCGGAGTGTGGTGTGTCTACGATCCCTAGAAACACTCTTGTCTTCACCCTGGCCAGCAAAAGTTGTTGGTCCTAATACTAGCCTCACTACAGAAATTGCAACAGTAATGCATAGGTAACTACAACTAAAAAAATTGCTGCTTTTTAACTCAAACTTAAACCCTCCTGGAATCCAGTTGAAGTATTGGGAGAAGCAACTACAGTAGTACTACAGCAGCCAGTTATGTTAAATACACTATGGATGCTTTTGGAGATAAAATAATTACTCTAGAAGAAATAATTTTAGCTATAATTTAAATAAGGGCCATTTTTGGTCATTCAAAGCAACCAGCTATTTCAGTACTGTAACCTTTGTTTGCAAGTATGATGGTAAAATTTAAAGTTTATGTACTTTACCTAAATAAAAATTTTGTTAAATAAATACTGATAAGGAGTGTTCCTGTGACCATTAGTGAGTAGTGCCTGCATGCTCATCTGTCCATTCAGGCACTTATTCATTCACGTTATGCAGTGTTGTTTTTGTTAGTAATTTAGTGTTAGGTGTGTTTATAAAGGCTGTTTTTTTTATTTGCAGACAAGTTTTAAGCTCTGACCACACTGATGTGCACCAGTCAGCTGTTACTGTAGTCTCACTAGTGGTTAAAGCAGCACAGCAAGCTTTAGATGAGGAGAAAAGGAAGAAGAAAAAACATAAAGGTAAAGATTCACGTGATCCATACATAGTGTGTGTGTATTGTGTGTAGAGGTGTGGTGTATGCATGTGTGTGTGTGTGTGTGTGTGCGCGCGCGCACACGTACTTGTCAAATTGTGCTAGCTGCGGTCAATGTTCAGCTGTCTGGTCACCCCTCTCAACTTTCAATTAGACTGGTTTGCAGGATCCCAAACCTATTGGACTCTCTCATATCTAATTTTGAAGCTGTGTATGGAGTCTGTGTGCTCCACTTTATTTCCTATCACTGATCATTTTTCACTATTGACACCGAACAAATTCTTCTAATGCCTTTTCTTATTTGAGTAATTAATTTTCACCTGTCTCCTTGTTTGCGAACCCCCCATGTTAAGTTATCTACCCTGAGAATTTTGTACAGTATGTAGTAATCATGTCTCGTCTCCCTTGACTGGGGTCTAGTCTGGTGGCATACCTCTGAACTTTCTCTAACTTCATTTTGGGTTTCTCAATATAAGGGCTTCATGCTGATGTGACAACTTCCAGTATGGTATTAATCTGACATATATGCTACACAAGATCCTGAATGACTCCTTATTCAGATTTCTAAAGACATTTCTTACATTGGTCAACTTAACATACACATTGATGATAACTATTGGTATGGTGTGATATGTTTGATATAGAGTACTAAAAAAATTAATAAACGGAGTTCTTGCATTTGTAAGTACAGGTATCGCTAGGTGATCAGTGTCATGTAGCAGGTGTAAGTCTTAAATGCTTTCCTGAATTTATTTGCAGAGGAAAAACCAGCCAATCAGGAGTGTGAAGGCTGTGAAGCAGACCTTCTGGGTGAGGGCAAGGAGTCTGGAGAGATCAATACAGCACAGTCATTGGTATTTACTGCTCTGCAGGTAGGCAATATTTTTATTTGATTACTGCAGAGGATTTCATGGTTTGAATATTAATTACTCATTACTAAGATGTGTTTATTCATCCATGTTGAACATTAAATAAAAACTTGGACTTGACTAGCCCAGTGCAGTGGTGGGAAAAGTTTAGAGAAATACGCGATAAGCACTACCCAGATGTCTTGACGTTCTTAAGTGCTAATATCTGGAGATGGTCGGGGGTTTCAACCAGGTGGGCCAACCAGCACTTCAGCACTATTTCAGAGACCAGCACTTCATGGTGGTCTCTTTAACACTGAGTAACATTTCCAGAGGTTTTGAATGTAGATGAATGAATCTTCAAAAAGCCGTTACAGGCTGAATGTTGGAAAAATCCTCATTTTACTGTATTAGGTTGAAAAGTTGACCTGTCTTGATTGTATGGTACTTGCTCTTGTTCTTGGTAAGAACAGGACACTACTGAAGGTAGCAACTGAGAGATCATAGCTGGGAAATAATTTAAAGTAAATATTTGACCTTAGATAACACTGCTTAATAAGAAGCAGCTCAGTTTTATCATAAGTGTTTTAGATCACTGGCGGCTGTGTAAATAGTGTTCACTTCACTACTTTTTTGGACATGCAGGTATGTTGTGAGGGGATTAACTTTGCAGCTTCTCAGAGAAAATGTTTAAGCAAAGGCATAATACTAATACTGTGCAGTTTTAGGATGACATGTAATGAATGCTTTAATAGCTGATAAGAAGGCAAAGCAACTTCTATGAGTGGAGTTTAGTCAAACCTATACAAAATTTATTCATGTAGTGTGGTCATTATTTATATTAAACTACTGTTTACTTTAACAAATTATTTAGCTCAAAAAACACATACTGTATATGAGAGAAGACTCGTCTCACTCTGTCATTGTATGACAATCACACTGCAAAATTATAGATATTGTATAGTAATTACTGTAGCCTACTATCTATAAAGTCATTTGCATAGTTTTGTATACAGCGTATTGATGTTTAATGCAGACTTTCTACAGTTTATTGTTTAATAATTTAACTGATAGGAATAAACATCAAAAGTTTTGAATATTTTGTAATCTGTTTCCATTTTACAATTTTTGTATAATATTCTTTTGATAATGGCCTTGTTACAGGTATGTCTGTGTACCTTAGTCCGGCACAAGCCACGTCTGGCACCCCAGGTGGTGGCCTCGGCACCCTCCTTGCTTGCTCCTCCTCGACATCATGCCAAGACTCATCAGCTTGAGGCCCTCTTGTCTTCCACTGTTACTCTCTTAACAACCTTACCTAATTTATGCTCTCCAGCTGGTAAGCTCTTGCAAGTTTTTTTTTTTTTTTTTAGCGGAATTAATCAGTATTTATAATTATCACTTGCTTTATAAGGTGTAGCATGTTAAATCTCCTTCAGACCTATTTTGTACACCTTCTTGACATGGTGCATGTTCATCATTTAAATGAATTGGAGACAAAAATAAAGAGTTTGATGAAAGTGTAAATAAATTGAATATGTACATTACTGATGTATTTTCCAAATATTTAGCCTTATTTAGAATAGTTTACTAAATAATTCAAATGTTGTTATTCTTCCATCATCAGTATAAATTTTAAGCACTGAATTACTTCTGATGTAGAACTTGATGCTAACCCCCCATGCAAAATATCACACTTGTATATTATTGATGTTGCCCTCTGCTAGGTGGAGTTGCCATCCTACCAACCATTTTATATCTGCTTACGGGTGTGTTACGAGAATGTGGTAGCAAGTCGCGTCCCAGCCACAGTCTCCAGAATACTCCTGCCCTCATGACCAAAGTCTTGGATGCTTTGGCTACACTGGCTCGGCATTCTTATGCCCGTGATCCCAGATCTAAGGACCAGTGGTGCAATCTCCTTCAGTCAGCTTTGGCTAACATTATTGATCTTAGCAAAACTTGTAAGTGAAAGTTTTTAATAGAAATATTTAATATTTGCAACAAGAAATAATTTTAGGATAAAATTAATTAAGGAAGATACTAGGAGATGCCATTAGCACTCACTCAGGTTAGACACACTTGTGTATGGTTAGTAACTGGATTGGTAACTGCTATAGGCTATGAACATTGCCTAATCCCAGACTGCAGGTCACCTTAAACAAGCTAATTCTGGGTTTTCTCTCTCTAACTGGGTATATACAAACACAAACTTGTAATTTATTCCTTTTGTCCTGTCAATAACTGACTTTGTTCTTCATCACTTGCTGGACATGCCATTAGAATCAAAATTAAATTGTTTAGTGTCTAGTCTTTGAAAACATATTCATGACACTTTCATTAATTTGTAAGGGTTCTAGATTACTAATCTATACCATGAGTGAATGCCAATGTCTGTTTAATTGTCTGTCCAAAGTTGGAAGCCAGACACTTGGGGTTAGTCTTGCCCATATTTGCAGCTGGAATGTTCTGGGGTACAGGACAGCATAGGGGGGCACCAGACTTCAAAAGAGAACAGTGTGCCAGGATAAAATTCTGGTCCCCTACAATCATTAGTGGCACTGCCAGCCAAATAATCAGAAAAAAATGTAATTTTTTTTTTATAGAAATTTTTATACTCCGTTACTCACTGATCTCAGGAAAATTAACAGACATTTCCTGTTATTCAAAGTAAGGCCGTTGTCCCATAGAACACGTAAATTCAATTCACTGCTTCCTTCCCCTCCTAGAGAAAACTGAAGGCTGGCCCACAGACTCGAAAAGGGGAACTGTTATATTCTGTATGAATGTCATTATTATTATAAAAGTCATATTGACACTTGCTCTTACTGGGTTGTTAGTAATATTGTAGGAGAGACAGATATAGACACAGACACACGTGTCTTGTTACATCTCTATCAATAGAGATACTAGTAGTATGTCTACTCTCTCCTTCCATAGAGAGACATGGATAGAGATTGAGGGAAATAGATATATGGAGATAAAGAGGGGAGACAAGAGACAAACTAGGAGGGTACTAGGGTACCCCCCCCCCTTAGTTTTTTTACATTTAAGGTATCTCCAACTTTTGTGTAACCCCATTTTACTGGCATGACAGTAAAGTATGATACTGTTCTCAATATATTGTTAAATAATATGCTGCCATTCTCTTAAAGTTTTTTGGAGTAGCTATTTTCAAATGAGATTCTGTACTGTACAAGTCCTGATATAGTCTCCGTGGTGTAGTGGTAAGACACTCGCCTGGCGTTCTGCGAGCGCTATGTCATGGGTTCGTATCCTGGCCGGGGAGGATTTACTGGGCGCAATTCCTTAACTGTAGCCTCTGTTTAACGCAACAGTAAAATGTGTACTTGGATGAAAAAAAAAAAACGATTCTTCGCGGCAGGGGATCGTATTCCAGGGACCATAGGATTAAGGACTTGCCCGAAACGCTACGCGTACTAGTGGCTGTACAAGAATGTAACAACTCTTGTATATATCTAAAAAAAATATGTTTTGGGAGCAGTGCCACTGATGTTCATTGTTGTGGCACTGTATTTCTTAATACTATACATAGTTTCTTGGTTGGTCAAATAGTCAAGTGTCAGAATTAGATTTTTTGTTAATTAAATTTAATCAAATTTACAAAATCTCAGTTTGGGAATTTACTTTAGTAATACTGTAATAGAAATAATATACTGTTCAGTACACTGTTGTTTTGGGTCGTTGATGCAGGCGAAGACGAGCGTGTAACAGATGAAGTAGTAGTCCTTCGAGGCATTGCCCAGTTGATCCTTCATGCTCCACCTTCTGTCAGCAGACCTCACAATCTACAGTATCCTGCAATTAACTTGTTCAAAATGGCCACACAACATCCACAGCTTGATGTAAGTTTAAAAATTTTCATTGCATGTATTTCTTTATTCATTGTTATTATTGATATAATAAATTATCAGAGATTATAAATTTGAGACGGGAAATATAATTCTCCACTTACTATAATATAATATAATATAATTGAGTATAGTACAATTGCTTTATTAATATGTAATGGAAATAATATACTGTACAGTACACTGTTGTTTTAGGTCATTAACACTTTCGCTCACCCCGCACGCCACCCCTCAATAGTGTGATATGGGACCCAGGGTGTCACAGGAGCGCGCGTAAATTCTGAAAAGTGTATACTCTCTTAAAATGTTTTCACTATTTTCACTCTGGTCACCTCAATTTTTGTCCTAGGTCTTTCATTTTGGTCTCAATGGGTTCGCAATAGAATTCTCTAGAGGAACATTAGCATATAAAATATAAAACCTGGTCACGCTCCAACCGCCGACGAGTTGAAGACGGGCCACGCGTTAGCCGCGAGCGAGCGCTCAGACGCCTTCCAGCTACACTCCCAATTCCCTCCCTTTTCAAGCCTTTCTTTCGCAATTTTCTTCCTAGAAGGGCCTTGTTCATGATCACTATCCATCGTGGAGTAAGGGTAGATAGTTTCTAAAGCCGCAGTAAGAAATATAGCCACGGAAAATAGCCGAAATGTTCACACGTTTGAGATGCGAGGGGAGGCGACATTGGTCACAACAGTGGAGCGAAAACAATGGGCCCATGGCATGTGCCAAGCCACCTGAGGGCCACGAGGCTCAACAAAGAAAATGGGAAGACATCGGCGCACATTTTAAAACCAGTCCCCAAAAAATTGGATAAAAACCTGATTTTTGGCGATTATTTAAAGTGGATGACGCAATGCTGCGTCATCCCCGGTATTACCGACAGTAAACGGATGACGCAATGCTGCGTCATGCCCGGGCGAAAGTGTTAATGCAGGTGAAGATGAGCGTCTATATATAATATATTAATTGGAATAAACCAGTTTAGAAAGAAATTATATATACAGTATATATATACAATTCAGTACATATATAATACAGTTGTAGAATAATTTTGTTAGGCATGATATGACAGGCTATAATCATACTTGTACAGCTGAAAATCTAAAATTTGATTAAACAGTTGATTTTCTCAAATACGGCAGGGTCAGTCAGAAACGGTAACCCTTTTATCTTCTGAACTAAAATTTTGTACTGTAGTTGATAAAAACTAAAGAAAATACCTGAGCATAGAAATTGTAATGTAGAGAGGCTTTTGCTTGCATTGGTTTGTGTGTAAAATAATGATACAGTACTGTATTGGATACTGTACATAGTTACAATACATTTATCTCTTGTTAAATTAAGCATTATGGGTTTCAATTTCATAGGTACGTATCCAGTGCATTCAGACTCTGGAATCTATCTTCAGCCACACTGATAGTGAAATATCAACACCCTATATACATGCCCTGGCACCACGCATCTTGGAATACTTACATGAGGCACATAGTAATGTGTCAAGCCAAGCAGAGCTACAGCTTATCACAGAGAGTTTGAGTGCTATGGAACTTCTGATACCAAGAACTTTACCAGAACACAGTAAGCTTACACATATTTTTGTCAGTGTGTCGATAATTTGTATGAACATTCAGGTAGGTTCTGTAATAATCAATTGCTGAATCAAGTTTAATGTGTGCTCTCCGACTCCTTCCACATGTTTTATTAAGCATCTTGTGGAAGAAAATAGTATACATTCCAAGATATAAATTAGTACTGTAGTAATAACATTTTTAAACATTTTAGGTGCTGGAATGTATAATATTTTATTACCACACTAGGCAGAATTAAAGGTGATACAGCTACTGTATACTGACTGAGCAAAATTCAATGAAAATTAGCCATATGAAGATAGAAGCTGGAGCAACTAGGCAAGTTTGCTCGGGAAGGTACATTTCATTTACTCTCACAACTTGCTTTTTGAGTTCTCCAATTTGGTTTCCTGCCAACTGACAGTCTGAGGTCAAGCCCAAGGCACAAGACCTGAAGACAGAAGAGGTCACCCTTACACCACAGCTGCCAGATAAGCATCATGTTGAAAGGTTTTCGATAGAAAGGCAGCCAAGATCCACACACTGACACTGAAGACGAGAGCACTTTATTAGAAAACTTTTTGCAAATGTGCAGGTAGACCTCCAAAAGCCTCTGGCTCAGCTCTTGCCAAAAATCATTACCAAGAAGGATTTACTAAATTTTTATTATTTTTATTATTGTGAATTATATAATACTGTACATGTTTCAGACATGTAAATGATATATAAATAATGGTTTTGTATGCATATAAATAATAATAATAATAAAAATTGATCTTTTCCCTTAACTTTTTGAAACGGAGGGCTGGTCTTGATAACGCAGTGGAAGCTAACTGCAGTTTTAGTACTGTCATAACATGTTAAACTTCTGCAGTCACCATGAATTGGCCTGGAAATACTCAAGTGTCCATGGTAAAGGCCATTCTTTCATCTATAGACTGTGCACCACTAACAACAAGGTTCAGACTACAATGTTGTGCAAATCACTGGTAAACAGCTTCATCCAAATTATAATGGTTAAAAAGTTGCAATGATTTTGTCACTTTGTTTTATTCACATATTTTGATCTGTTTCTCCCTTTTTTCCCCGTTGTCAAAAAAAATTAATAAAATTCCTTTTCCCTGTCCAATCCCAAATATTTTTTCTGATCCCTTCCAAGTGCTATATAGTCACAATAGCTTGGTACTTTCTCCTGATAGTTTCCTTCCCCTTATGTTAAAAACATTACTAGTACTATATCAATACCATACTATGCTGCCCTCTGCTGACCTTCCCAATCATGATCACATTTTACTAATAACTCAGCCTTATTGTCCTTGGTAAGGAAGCTCCTCTTACTCTTGTCTAATGTATCAATACTACTCTTGCCACACAACATGGCTTCTTTGCAAATAATGTTATATAAGAAAAAAAGTAAGTGCAAAATGCTTTAATATTGAGAGGTTGGTCTGCACTCATACAAGGAAAACTGTCAAGACGAACCCTCATAGCATGTCGATAACTGAAAAAATATAACTTAAGCTAGTGTGTACAATTTATAAAAAGAGTATGATTACCAAAAATAGAAAAAAATCTAGTGATGGAAATTAAGTAATGAATTGATGATGTAAATTTTACCATGTCCCCTGTCTGGAATTCAGATTTTTTTCTGTAGAAATCCGAATTTGGGAGGGAAAAGCTGGTGAGGCAATGTGATCCATTATATGGAGGTTGCAGTATGTATCTGTAGCTGTCTGTATAGGTGTGAAGAACGTAGCAGACAAGAGTTGACTGTTGAATTCATTATAATTATTCATTGTATCTGGGGACAGGAAGCCAGAGTGTATTTATTCACATTAGGCTTATGTCAAGGTTCCCCTCCAAGGTTGAATTACTGACCCCGCCCTTTCCCCCAGGATGCAACCCTACAACAAACCGACTAACTCCTGGGTACCTGTTTACTGCTAGGTGAACAAGGGTATTAGGCGATAAGAAATGTGGCAAACTATTTCTTTCCCAACCAGGATTTGAACCCGGAATTCTCGATTGAGAATTGAGAGCGAACACGACAGTACTACAGTGACCCTTATGCAGTTAGACTAGAGTTTACCGCTTATGTTGCTAACGTTATTTTAGCTATTAAAAGTACAACAGAACAAAATTTATGACCTAAGACTGTGAATTATGAAGAAAATTGGTTTATGCAAATTTTCCTAAACTTATTATGAGTTCCAGTACTTCCCTCTAAAATAAGTACAGTACAGTATGTTTTGTGAATGTTCTTAGTTGAATTATGAGGGGTCTCAATTCTTTCAGGAAATGAGCTTGTTGGAGTACTGGTTGGGGTCATGGTTGGAGCTTTACAAGACACTAATCGCCTAAGTAGTGTTAATCAACCAACTCGTCAGGTTCATCAGTATGCTCTTGCGAGACTTCAGAAAATTGGACCACAATATCCTCAGGTATGAGTGCTTGTTTGATATTATGACTTGTACACTATTGAATGACACTTCTTTATAGCTTGCTCATCATTGGCCTTGCATATAATTTTCCACAATCTATTTATATCGATTAAGCCATTGATAATCATCCCTTATTCACTACTTTTTAAGTAGTCATGCATTAAATAATTATGCTTTCAGGAGTTTCGTACGGTTTTAACAAGCAAACCAGAGTTGCGTCTGAGACTGGAGAGTGCATTACGAGGTCAACAGGAAGCGAGGAACAAGGTTGACAGCTCAATGGTGCAGGATTCAATACATCAGCCAACTATAAAGTTAAAGACTGATTTTTCTAATTTTGCTTCCAAGATTTAGATTTTTTTTTTGGTTATACATGTTAGGTACAAGTCAAAATGTGTGTCCAATAACAAATTGTTAAATTACCCTCATTTGGAGTATACTGTTTCAGTCAGTACTGAGAGTGATCTAATCAATATTAAATTTTAAAGAGGCTTTACGATCAGATTGTATGTAGTATGGAAGTAGAATTTCATAGTGATTGTGTGAATGAAAAGGTTATGTTAATGAAATTTTTCTAGACGGTTCTGTGTAAGACACCCAGACTAAAAATTTAGAAAATGTTTAGGATATATAAAAAATATCTTGCTGGTTCTTCCATTGCTGTACATATTGTTGAGCACCCATTTGTAGATCTTAGTTCCTCAAAACAAATAGTATTTGTTTGCAAATATTTGCATGAAAAAGACAAAAAATGATTAAATAACAGAATTGTAAGGGAAATACACAAGGGTAAAATACAAGGGGCTAAAACAAAGGGTAAGCAATTATTAGTATGGAGAGTGGATAAAATATTGCAAGTGAGAAAGATTTCATGTGAGCATAATGGGTATAGAAAAAGTTAGAGGGGACTGGCGTAGGCAATTCTGTTGTTAGGTCATCAGCCAAGGGCTGCATTTACTAACATTTCAAGCTCTTAAGCTGCATTTGGGCTAGTAACATGTAGTTAACAAGTGTTCTCCAAAAGCATGCAAATGATACTCTTCAAATAGATGGCATTTCTAGCAGTAACACATTTACAACTACCTGTACTTATGTAAATGTAAGTAGTCTTGTATCAAAATTAAGATTTTTTCTTTGCTGCATGAAAAAAATAGCAATTAATACATGCATGGATAAGTTAGTATCTTCACACACTCAATGGTGCCGTTATATTCTGCATACGTTATGATACAGTAAATTTGAAGCCACTATCATGTAGATGTGGATAGCTGAGAATATAATTAGTTTGGTATGCAAAACTATGATTACAAATATATAAAGCAAGCAGAGTTAAGATGATTTTACTTTTTTAGCAAGTTGTCTCGATAATAAAAAATTGGTTAAACACATCTGAAAATTTAAGTTATATGACAAAAAAAGTTTTATGTAGAAAATCAGTCATCTGTAATGAAGCTTTTGGTGTGAATTGAATTTAAAAGATATCCTTAAGCAACTGAAAAATAAAAGTATTGCACTTAAAGTGACTGGACAGGTTTAGTGTGATGATTTATCACAGTGCACGAGAAGCTAACTACAACAGCCCTAAAATGAAAAAATAACATTCTTAACTATAAAGTCTCAGTTTTTGCCAAGAAGCATTGGATTTCCAAAACTATTTGGTGTGAAATAGTGTACAATAGGCTGCACTTTTAACAGATTCATATTTTTAATGTGCTTTTTATTTTGTAAATTAGCCTAAGGTTTTCTGTATATACATATATATATATTGTATGTGTATTGATAGAGCTTGAGAAGGCTTTTTTTAAATTGGGTATGCAATCTTCCCTCAGACGCACTCGAGGATTGCATCCCATGGATGGTGCATAAACACAGGTATATCTAATTACATAACCAAAGACCATAGTGTATATTTTATTCTTGTTTTATTTAGTGAAAACTCCATTGATTTGGCAATCACATCTATTCATGTCTTTAATCATTCCACAAAGAAATATAAGATTTGTAATACTAATTACAGTACCAGTAGTCTTTTTATTGGGGAGCCCTAGAGGCTTCCTGTAGCTATCTCACTGAGATTGCTCCAATGTACATGTCATATCGGTCGCATGATTTCTGCTTAGCCTACCAGGAACCAGCGCCAGAACCTGGTCCCCTCACACAAGGCGCAGAGAGCAAATGATATTCCGCCATATCACTGGCACAGCACCAGAAAGTCGGCAAAGCTTTACACACAACTGCTAGAGTCACAAGACTCAAAAGCCATGAAAACACCACTATCCAAACAATACAAAAGAAATAGCTAGAACCCATTAGTACCGAATGCTGCCACTAGGTGACTTGGTTTAGCACCAGCTGTCAAATCAGTTCTTTCGCTGTGTAGACAACACCAATGCAGTAGCCCTCCTTTGTCGCATCACCTTGCAGCAAGTATCATTGCTTCTAAACTAAGTACAGGCCATCCTAGGACGTCATGTGAGGGCTTTTTTGGGGGGGTAAATATATCATTCCATTATATTATTTGCTTCATGAGCATGTTTCCAGTTTTGTTGTGTGGACTTTTTTGTGCTTCAAACTGCATACATCCAGTAGATACTTCCCTGTGTTTGTGAACATTGCTCTTGCACTTACAAGAGTTCCTTCTCTGGGGTGTTCAGAGGTTCATCCTTCCTATGCCAGGCCACCAGGGTGGAGTGCCTTACATGTCTTCTGATCTCTGTTTAGGCCAGTTGGGGGCATTCATTATGTTGTGTAGGATGCATACTAGGCACGAGTGGTTTGCTTATACGGCACGCTGCAGGCACCATTTTGCATCACAGATAGTAAGGCAGCTTGTGGTTCTTATTTTGGCAAGTGTCCCCTGTGCCTGGGATCACATGGCCCTTCTATTCCCCAATAGGTCTCAGACAAGGTCATTTATGCATAAAGAATGGCCCATTGAGCCCACTCTCACCCACTGCAAGTGTGAAGGATGTTGGTCACCTTTACTTCATGGTGATTACTTTCTGCCTCTGCCATGCTACCTGTTGGGTTGATGACTCTTATGATCTTGAATTATGATTCCTCTCTGTTTCTGCTTCTGAAGTAGAGGAATTTCGGGCAGCTGTCACTTTACGGGCAAGGTTTGCCTGGTTTCAGCGTTTACAGCTTTGTGCTCAAATGGACACCTCAGCCCCAGAACTGGAGGTATTGGATCTGCATTTCTTTGTTCCCAGGCAAGTGTGGTTTGCCCTGCTCAATTCCTCCCCACGCCAGGTGAGCGTCTTACCACTACACCACGGAGACTGTTAATCTTGTTAATCTCTTCTGCCTTTCGTCTGAGATTCCTTTATTAAGGGAGTGTTTTGGCTGGCTCTTGCTTCCAGTTGTCTGTAAAGCTTTGCTGACTTTTCTGCATGTTTTCCCAGTGAAATGTCATTCTGCACCTTGCATGAGGGGGGAGGGCATTCTGGTCTTTGTAGGCCAAACTGAACTTTGCAGCCGATATAACACAGATTGAAACAATCTCTGCTGTTATTTATTCCAATCTTGTTTGATTAGAACAAACTACAGGGATCAAGCAAAAAGCGAGCACTGGGACTACCAGAAAGAAACATTTCATCACCTTCAAAGCTGGTTTATTATTCCTTTTATTTTCTCTTAATTGTGTGTATTAAGGGCAAGGAATGTCATGATAGTACACTGTACTGTACTAAGTTTGTGTTGAGATTTGATTTGATTTAGTCCACCATATTTGCCAGTTTTTTTTTTATAATTTTCAATAATTTGTACAAAATCCAGTTAATTTAATTTTTGTCATGTCATAATTCTAAACGTGCAGCTGCAAAGTTTTTAGAATTTAGTGTGTAAAACAACTGCATTATTATTTGCTTTTAATTTTATGTTCATGATCGGGTATGCTAAAGATTTTCAAGGGGGGTAAAAGCTTGATAATTCATACCTTCTTCCGTCCCAATTAGTACAAATCAATGAAGTTTTCAAAAAATTTACACAAATTTACTAGTAAGAATATTTTATAATATTCAATTAAGGACAAGAGAAAAATTAGATAAAATTTTTATTTGCATTAATGCCATATAATCTGCCTACACGTCTTTAAGGCATGCTAAGTATTGATACAATTTTAAGGTAATCTCAAGTATTTTGACAAAGATATTTGATTGCCCAAGGACCATATTTAGCTGTTCCCCATTCCTGCCACTAGTATGTGACACCATTCTCTATTGTTATGAGTTTAGAGTTCCAAAATATGGACCAGTGGAAAAGCAATGTGATATTACCTTGACAAGTTATTAAGTGTGGCAGTGTACTGTTATTTAGGTGTGGCAGCCCATTTTGTACGCAAATAAATATTTAAACATTATTAATGATAAAATAGCATTTAATTTGTGTGACGTTTGAGACTAGCAATAAACCTTAGTTCATTACTATATACAGTATTTCTAACCTTAAAACACGATCCAGTGACTAAGCAGACCGTCCTCCAAACAATAACCCAAAAGTGATTCCATGCACCCGCCAAACCTCCCGTTTATGAATGAATGAAAAACGGTTTACACACACAACCCGTCCTCGACTCGAGTCCATTACATCCAGCGGCCAGACCAGGAAAAAGGTACAAGAACCCCCACTTATACCAGTCCAACCAAACAGTAAAGGCCTCACAATCTGGGAATGGTGTCGCATATGGGAAAATGCTCAGACCATGCTGATACAGAGGTCTACGTCTGGGCACTGGAACCTCTCACAGAGCCACAGAAAAGAGATGGCATCAACGGTTTATTCTGTGGAGACAGGAAGGAACCAGGATAGACCGTCTACAAAAATGTTGGACACTTCCTGGACATGAATGGTGCTCAGAACCGACCCCCCTAGAGATAGAAACTGAAGCGAGCTGCCCCCGTTTGACATTGAACCACAGGGAAAGTCTAAATACAGCTGGAGCACAGAGCCATGCTCAAGCTCAGTGCTTTCTCAAAGCAAAGTTTTCCTAAGTAGTGAATAACACCACTTATCACAGGACCTAAACATCTTTTGGAGACCAAGCCTAGATACTGGTGTCATCCCTGGTGCTGTACAGTATACTTAAAACAGCAGAGATCATGCCACTTCACAAATGAGGTAGTAAAGATGAAAAAAATTATAGACCAATAATTCTAACTTCACACATGATAAAAATCTTTCAAAAGAGTGCAAAATAGTAAGATTACAAATCACATGTAACCCTACATAACCCCGCACAACACTGGTTCAGAACAGAGCTCCTGCCTCTCAATTTCTAGATCACCATGACATGACCTTAGGTGCCATGGAAGAGAAGCAAAATGCAGAATATACATAATAACAGACTTTTGACAAATGTGACCATGGTGTTACTGTGCACAAAATGCATGCAAAAAGAATTACTGTACTGGCAAAGTAGGAAGATGAATCTTTAACTTCCTAACATAATGCAGAGTATAATAGTCAACACAGTAAAATCCAGATCTACTGTGAAAAGCTCAGTCCTTCAAGGTATCGTACTTCCTCTGATACTTTTTCTCATCCCTAATATCAGGCAGACATGAATACAAACTACAGTACTTTATCATTTGCAGATGACACTACAATTTCCATAAGAGTCAACAATATAGAGGACATGGCAAACCTCCAATTTGATGTAAACTGGGTCTTTCAATGAGCCACATAATAATGATTAATGAAAATACGTTCCAGCACAATGGAAAAACTAAAATGGAAACCACAAAAGTCAAATCACACTGTAGAACTAAACAACAATATGAAGGATCTAGGAGTAATCATGTCAGAAGACCTTGCCTTTACAGGACACAAAGTAGCTGTCACAACGGCAAGAAAAATGACAGGTTGGATAACAAGGTTATCTTGAGGTTATCTGGAGAGGATTTCGGGGCTTAGCATCCCCGCGGCCCGGTCCTCGACCAGGCCTCTGTTACACACACCCCAGGAGCAGCCATCTAACTCCCAGGTACCAATTTACTGCTAGGTAACAGGCATCAGGGTGAAAAACATTTTGCCCATTTGTCTCCGCCTCCACCGGGTATCGAACCCGGAACCTCAGGACTACGAATCCGAAGTGCTGTCCACCCAGACCTTCCAAACAAGGAACACCATACCAGTGATACTTTTCAAGACACTAGTACACTCTAGGGTGTAATATTGCTGCACACTAACAGCCCCATTCAGCGCCAGAGAAATTACTGACCTAGAGTGTGTGCACAAAGATCCTTTACCACTAGAATCCACTCGACATCTTTATTATTGGAACCGATTAAAAGTTCTAAATCTAATCTCTTAAGAGTGCAGACAAGATGCATAATAATCTACACGTGGAAGATGTTAGTGGGACTGGTTCCAAATGACACGAAACCAGTAGGCATGACAGGATGTGCAAAATATCCGTTGAAAAGCAGACTCTGAGAACTCCAACAAGGGGCCCAAGACTTTTCAACACGCATTACACATAAGGGGCATAATTGGCTGGCCTCTCACAACGTCCAAGAAAGAACACCTAATCAACCAGGCTGCGAGCAGCCACAACCAATCTGAAAGCCTGGTCGGAGGCCGGGCCATGGGGCCATTAAACACTTTGATGCACCCGGTACCCGCGAAAAAAATCTGCGCATTGTTCGCGCGGCGTTTTTTTCTCATGAGCGTAAGCACCAGTGTGTAATCTTTTCACTCTCCTGACACCAATTCTCGGGCTACGTATTTCCTTTTGGTATCAATGTGTTGGCAATAAAATTCTCTACAAGATCATATGTATAAAATGTAACCAAAGCATTAGCTATTCCACCACGAAATAAATAAAAACGTAGATCACTCGCCGTCTCGCCGTACGCCCAAACAGCTACAAAATGTTCATACTCTTTTGTTTGTTGTCAGCTCCACATTAGTCCTACAACGTTAAATTTTATATCACTGAACTCGCAATAAAATTCTCTACACAGACATATGCATATAAATGTAGAATCATGATCGCGGCCAACACAAGTGTGAGTGAAGTGGGCGATTACCCTCGTTGTGTCACCAACTCAATAGTCTCTCCTCTAAGTTACAATACAATGCCGTTTTCTCAAATAGGCACTGTGCCTATTAGAGAAAACGGAAATTTAATGGCAAACATTCATACAAACCCCAAGTCGATCGAGTAGTATATACCCACTATAACACGGCCCGTAAATGTACGACGCGACCCCACAAGTGCTTAAATAAACCGCCCGTACATCCAAGTGTAGGGGGCAGAAAAGTGTTTTTTAATCCCTGAAAGCGACAAGGTAGGTAGGTAGGTAAGGTAGTCCGCAGGAATCTGAAAACTCTACAGCGCATGCCACATGGCTGCAAACTCGTAAACCATACTGTGAGCCCGATAAATGAGGAAAGACCAGAGGAGTCCTGGCTGGCTTTCTGAGCCCGGGTCACAAAGCCCCAACCCATAGCCGAGGAAAGGGTCAATAAGTAGAGGGTGGAAGAAGAAACCAAGGAACCAAACCCTGAAGTAGTTGGGGACCAAGTAGCCAAAACGGTCAACAGTCCGCACACCAAAATAGCATTGGTTGCAAAGGGGCTGCCATGGAGAAATGGAACAGCTGCCAAAGTCAAACCTTACCCAGGGAACACGTGAGGCAGGCAAAGGGCTGGCTCCTGCACAACCACCGAGTCACTCAAGGCTGACTAATGACAGACTGAGCTGGGTCAAGGCTGCAGGAGGTAGTGAAAGAAAAGCCAACAATCAAACAAAGCCCATCAAAGTTCAAACCCAGGACAACCAACTGGGACTTTTGCCAGTTCACTGGAAGCTCAAACATGGCAAGCTGGAAGCCCATACCAGCCAGTCAAGATAAGCCAAAACCCAAACCCCCATCAAAGATGAGCCACAACAAGCAAAGTGTGTGAACACACCAGGAGCCTAATATGGCCCAAACAGGACAAATGTGGCAAGCATGCTGCTCCACAACAAACCCTAGCGAATCCCTGAACCTCGGATGTAGAGAGATGTGCCAATATGCGTCCAAGCAGTTACCTTGAGAATGAGATGGCCCTGGGACAAGGTAGTAAAACAGGGTAGCAAGGAACAAACTGATTCAACCATGAAAGGTCGAAGATGAACCAGAGGTCTGGCAAGTCCCATTTTGGGACTGGGAAGAGGCGGGAAACTCCACCATGGGACTGTTTTCTTTTCCACCCTCGAAGTCACCCATTCCAAAGTAATTTGAGGAGAGGAAGCCTGCCTAGAAATGCCCAAACCTCCAAGAGCAGCAGCCGACCAAAAATTAGACTACTGCAGGCTGCGCAAAAAAAAAAAAAAAAAAAAAACTGGTTTAATGAATGCCTCTACTGAGCCCCTAATTTTTGTTACTGCAAAAATGACATGCTTCTAAATGCACATGTCTGCAATGTGCACTTTTTTGTGCATATTGTACTTCACTCCCATGGAGTTCAATTTTTTAAATTTCATACAACCTCTAACCCAGATAAAGAAGGCTGTTCTCTCGTGCCTTTTCCTTTGAAAATTTTCAAAGTTCATGCTCAACTGCTCCATCAAATAAAAAAAAAAAAAATGCATCGAGCCATGAAGACTATTTCGAGCAGTAGTAAAAATCGGCGATTGCCTAGTTTTCAAATAAAACCCATGTGCAGCCTTCCAAACCTACTTCCTTACTCAGATTTCCAGTAATTTATAGTGATACACAGCCTGTTGATGTCTGCTAGTAAATGATAAAGCTTTAACTACCTCATCCCAGTGTACTTTATCAACAAAATTAAAATGTCTATAACAGGTAACTAAAATAGAGGGGAAACTTTTCCCTGGCTAGATTATATTTTGGACAAGATAAGTGTTGTATACTTAATTGAAGTTAAGTTACTCACCTAAGTTGGTCATCAAAAGAAGGCACGAAGCTGGGAAGACTAGCACCATCAAAGTCGCAGGATATTCAAAAAGCACTAAATACCACCAGGAATGCCAATATAAGAGCAAAAGTTCAGAAATTGCTCTTTCACATCATTGAAATAGTTCATTTCTATAATTCAAGTGACTATAAGGGACAATCAGGCAGACTCGCCAACATCCTGAAAACCAAGATATTCAAGATGCACAACTAAGGGACAGGGCAGCATTCTATTAAATGCCAGTGAGCAGTGTATTGCCAATATATAACTTCGCCACAGCCGTTTTCCCACACTGCCTGTTACAGTGGTAAGAGACCAAGGGGACAGACTATCCTTAAAGAGTGCACAATAACAAGACCAATAATCCTGCCACTGAACACATCAAGGAATGACAATGTAAATAATGCTTGTTCTGGAAATAGTCAAAGTGCAGATAGCCTCCTTAGCAGCAGTGCCTGCACTCAGTTGAGGGAATACCAATATGGCTGGGAACACTAAACTTGCTTAAATGCCTTTAGAAGAAAAATGGCAAATATTGGATTTCACCAATTGCAGGGTGCATAGGATTAAATGACTAGAGCCAGGAGAGCACCACTGGTAACAAAAGCAGTTGACAGAGCATTCATACAACATTGCACACAGTTCAGCCATGAAGATGCTGGCCTAGGGGGGGGGGGGGGTTTAGTTGGCACAGGGGTTTGGTCCAAAAGATCATGGTATCCAAGACCATTGATAGACTTGGACCTATCTGTAAAGAGGGCAACAATTTGTGTGAAGATAAATGTTCAAGAAAAAGGCACTTAGTAAGAGGGATAGAAGCCTCTTACCATGTGGATCAGTCTACCTTGGGGTTATCTTGAGATGATTTCGGGGCTTTTTAGTGTCCCCGCGGCCCGGTCCTCGACCAGGCCTCCACCCCCAGGAAGCAGCCCGTGACAGCTGACTAACACCCAGGTACCTATTTTACTGCTAGGTAACAGGGGCATAGGGTGAAAGAAACTCTGCCCAATGTTTCTCGCCGGCGCCTGGGATCGAACCCAGGACCACAGGATCACAAGTCCAGCGTGCTGTCCGCTCGGCCGACCGGCTCTACAAATGGGACCCGGCAGTAAGGATGGAATGACGCGAGAAGACATTGCTAATACAAACAGAAAGGGAGGCCTATATTCAAGACATCCAAAAAGAAAGGATGGAGATGAAAGAACAGGGCCTACCAGAGGCAACAGCCAAAGCCTGGCAAAAGCAACTGCAGAGACCTCGTAAGTAATGAAGACAGTAATGATCTCAATCCTGAAGCGACAAGACATACGAGTCCCAACCGGAAGGGTTGGAAGGTCAGGATGGTGCAGTGAAAATTTGCAACATTTGTGACCTGTGACATGCTTAGCCAGTAAGTGCAGTACTTTGTCTATTCTTATTTTTCTATGCCCTGCAAAGAATTTTATTGCTTACCAAGGCAATTTTTAATTAAAATGTCAACTAAATATGCAAACTAAGTCGATGCAACCAGGAATATTCATCCCAAAAATTTTTTTACTCTGATTTACAGATCTAATAGTTCAACCTGTAGTCAAACTTATCCACAATTCTCATTTTCAAGCACTTATTTGCAACCACTAATATTAGCATAGAGAAACAAATCAAGGTTTCATAAAGTCGGCATTTACTTTGAATGCATTTATTTAAAAATTATCGCCGGCCACCATATGAAGACGGGATGGGCTGAGTCACCTGCAGTCCAGCGACTTTGTCGAAGTCCTGCAAAACACAAAATGCAAATACAAGTCTACTGAAAATTTCAGGATTAAGTTATCATAAATTTATGCAAGTCTTTCACATATTTGACCAAATACAATACAATGATAGGTTAATCTAATTGAATAATGTGCAGCATATGACCTAGTTTGTAAACTTAACTTAAATGAACCCCCACCCAGGCTTATGCTTGTATATACTAATTACAGCATCTTACTAAAGCAGGTAAATATCAAGGGAACTCTTTCAAAAGAAAATTTTAAGTTGTTGCTTATTTACCTGTCTGAATAGAAAGCAGGAAAACCTTTACTACAAAATAAAGGCCCCATTTGCAACTAACCTTACTTTTTTGAAGATTTAAACAAGTTTATGACAGTTGATTTAGAAAGTTGAAAATTAAACTACTATGAAACCGTACTAAAGCCATCACAAGGTAAACATACCATCAATTTCAACATTTCCTTCGTGTCGGCATCAACCTCAATGATGCCTTGTTCCAGGGCAGACACTTCTGGCACATAGTTGTCCCTACGCTCTCGCTCCTCCTCCTGGAGCTTAATGGAGATCCCACGTACTGGGCCACGCTGGATGCGCTTCATCAAGTGGGTGACAAACCTGCATCACCACCAAATTGAATTATGCATTTAAAAAAGTATTTACAGTAAATATCACAGGTCAACCAATGCATTAACCTTACACCTTTATCATATCTTGCTTTATGACAGTTCGTATGGCTTTGTACAACCTAGTGAATGACAGAACTCTGGAAGGCTGGCCAATTAAAATTGGCTGCTTGCTGTTATAGCTCAAAACAAACCATGTAATATTTGTCATTTATGATGAAAGTGTGAAGCTGTGGAGCAGCTGCAAAAGAGGGATGTCGAGTGCCACTCATCTTTCACCAGTCAACTCACCACAATTTCATTTGTGTATATAAAATAGGCTAAAAAAATTGCACATTTATGATTTAAGGGACCAGAAATAAAAATATGAAACATGTACGCAGTTTTATTCTTCAGTTTTTTTTTTAGACTGGTATAGTGCCTGTGGCAAGAGATGGATGTAAACGGGTAGCATCGAGATGGCAAATTCCAAGCACTATTGCCTGCTGTTGTAAATGTATTTTATATCAATATATCTGCAACAAATCATGCACTAGTCTTTACTTGAAGCTACCATATTGGCAGAACAAGATTAGGGAGTTAAAACGCTGCTTAATAAATTATATTTTCTCATTTACATTGGTTCTTTTCACTTAATCCTTGACTGGCTTCCCCACCAGTCCCTGTACAATCTTAGCCTCCATGCAATCCAAGTCTCTAGGGATCAACTTGCTCTCAAATTAGCCTTATTTGAGGCTAGTGGAGTTCACTACCCAATATCACCAAGTTCCACCACCATCATGGGTCAATGGGAGATCAGATCCACCAGTTACAGAGATGTCACCATTGTTGCCCTTTCGACTGCTCAGTGTGGGCTTAACTTATCCTCGAGCCAGTATCCAAAGTCTTTTCACATCTGCAACATCTTTGGCAATCTTCAAGACAACTCGCTGTAATTTGTCATGACCCACCTTGAGCTATTATTTTCTGGTTGCTCCAGGTCAATGAAGTTACCAACTTCTCAATTGTAGAAGCTCTTGGAGGATTCGATATATACTGGCATCCCAGTATTGTCTCGTCACCATACTGCTTCCATACTCTGCCCATTCATACAAGCTCGACCATAAATGCTTCTGTTAACCTCATACTTTTCAAGATCATTACAAACTTGATCTCTGCATCACAACACTGTACAATATGTACAGTCAGTCAGGCATGCACAGCATTTCCATCAGACATTCATTTGGTTATGGGGACTGGATATTTTAACACCAGATAACGAATTGGATACAGTGACCATCATTTATAATGACCCCTGCTTCACAATAACAGGACAAAAGTATTAGCTGCATACAGAACTCATACAAATTAATCATGTCGGTTGTGCAGGTATCAGGCAAGTAAGTAATCATCGAAAAAGCACCAAACTGGGAAGGATATGTACCACCAATATCAGGCATGTAAATGACACTTCATGCTCTCTAACCTATTTTATGAATAATATTAATACTAGTAGTCATTTTAATACTGTCTCGTATACACATACATATCTGGTCCTGAACATATTGTTAATCAAGCCAAGTCAAGCAAGATTTAAAAACAAAAAACTTCTGTTCCTACACAAAAATCTATTGCGGGTACTAACCGCATATACTAACCCTGCAATCTTGTTGCGGAGGGGCTTCGACGGAATAATTGCAATTTCCTCACATATCCGTTTATTTGTGTGAAAGTCACTACCCAGACGTGTGTAATATTTCTCAATTATTACACGGGCTGCCTTCTTCACCGTTTTAGTACGTACACGACCCTGGAAGACAAATTTAATTTTTATTTCTAATATTACCAATTCTCTTTCAGTATAAAGGATTGAAATATAATAAATGAAAACTGGTGGTATTGTGCACCATTTATTAAAAATAACTACAGGTTTATTTACTGTGCTTGCTTTTTGCATTTAAAAAATTATGGGAATGTTATAAAACATTGCATTACATCATAGGAGCAAATGAGAAAAATTTATCAATTGCTATAAAATGGAATCTCTTCAGGAAGTAACAGTTTAGCAACTACCTAAATAGGACCAGCAATAGTCGAAATAGATAATGACAAATGTAGTTCCAAAGCTAGGATATTATGATAAAAACCTTATACTGTAGTCCCTGTAACTGTACTGTATCAACTGTATTGTCAGTATTGTTGCCAGGCAATGCTGAAATTGTCAAATCTGAATGCAAAAAACTTGGATACTATCATAATTATAAAGTAAAAAATCAGTGTATTAATGTTCAAAATAAGGCAAATTGGATATTATGCTGGGATTTAGTGCTAGGAGCCCTTGCAGGCAATGAGTCACAATAACGTGGCTGAATGTTGACCAGACCACACACTAGAAGGTGAAGGGACGACGACGTTTCGGTCCACCCTGGACCATTCTCCTGGACCATCCACCCTGCACAAGTCGATTGTGCACCTAGGAGCCCTTGTTTAGAACATAAGAACAAAGGCAACTGCAGAAGGCCTATTGGCCCATACGAGGCAGCTCCTATTTATAACCACCCAATCCCACTCATATACATGTCCAACCCATGCTTGAAACAATCGAGGGACCCCACCTCCACAATGTTACGCGGCAATTGGTTCCACAAATCAACAACCCTGTTACTGAACCAGTATTTACCCAAGTCTTTCCTAAATCTAAACTTATCCAATTTATACCCATTGTTTCGTGTTCTGTCTTGTGTTGATACTTTTAATACCCTATTAATATCCCCTTTGTTATGTCCATTCACCCACTTGTAAACCTCTATCATGTCACCCCTAACTCTTCGCCTTTCCAGTGAATGCAACTTAAGCTTTGTTAATCTTTCTTCATATGAAAGATTTCTAATTTTGGGAATTAACTTAGTCATCCTACGCTGGACACGTTCAAGTGAATTTATATCCATTCTATAATATGGCGACCAAAACTGAACTGCAAAATCTAAATGGGGCCTAACGAGCAAGATATAGCTTTAGAACCACACCAGGTGTCTTGTTACTAACGCTGCGATTAATAAATCCAAGTGTCCGATTTGCCTTATTACAAACATTTATGCATTGATCCTTTTGTTTTAAATTCTTACTAATCATAACTCCCAGGTCCCTTTCGCAATCCGACTTCGCAATCTCAACACCATCTAGCTCGTATCTTTTAACTATCATCATTACCTAACCTCAGAACTTTACATTTATCAGCATTAAACTGCATCTGCCAATCCTTTGACCATTTCAAAACCCTATCTAGATCAACTTGAAGTGATAGTGAGTCCTCCTCCGAATTAATTTCCCTACCGATTTTCGTATCATCGGCAAATTTGCAAATGTTGCTACTCAAACCTGAATCTAAATCATTTATATATATTATAAACAACAGAGGTCCCAGGACAGAGCCTTGAGGTACTCCACTTACAACATTTTCCCACTCTGACTTGACTCCATTTATACTAACTCTGTTTCCTTTGGTATAGCCATGCCCTAATCCAGTTTAATATAGCACCCCCAATACCATGAGCCTCTATCTTTTTAATCAGTCTTTCATGTGGCACAGTATCACATGTTTACATTACATTAGCACAGTTTGGCCATGTTTACATTATGATTCATACGTCAGGCTATGAGCAGCCACGTCCAACAGCCTAGTTGTCTAGACAACCAACCAGGAAGCCTGGTCAGTGACTGGGCCGTGGAGATGTTTGTTCTCTAAATTGCTGCAAGGTAAGGAATGGAAAAAACCTTGTGGCGATTGAAAAAAAATTTAAATAAATAAGAGGTTAGGTGTTTAACTACTGCACTGCACAAAGTGCTTTTAGGCACCAAGAGTTATGCTATTTTTTTTAATTAGGCTATATTTGAATGTTTTTTAATGTTTTCTTTTCTGTTTTGAAATTGAAATAGTTGAGTTTGGAAACATTATGGCATTAACTTTACCTGAATATTTATAAATACAAAAATATGTCCTTGACAATTCCACTAAAGTTTTTTATAACTTAATTTGGACAAATCAGACATTTTGGGTCTTGCAGTCAAGTTACTGAACTTTATACGTAGTATTTTGTTTATTAAGAAATTACATTAACCACTTAACTGCACAGATTACATTAATGTTAAGGGTTGTGCAATTTTGTTTTAATTAGGCCATATTTTATTGTTTTTAAATGCTTTCATCACTGAATTTAAATGAAAATGGTAGTGTGGAAACCGACATTAATATTTGCCGAACATTTATAAACAAGTGTAAAAACGGCACCATAAATTTCTTGCCTAAAACAGGTGCACAGTGCAGGGGTTAAACATTATATTACCAACAAAGGAAATATATCTTGCAACAAATTGTATATGGGTCGAACATCAAGCAATCACAAAGTAGCTGGGCCTCTTGACGTCACAGTTACACGTGTAGGTTATCAGCAGCTTAAAGCCTCACTAGAGCAGGTGGACCTTGGTAGGCAGGTCATCTGTTACCTACCAATAAAGTATAGGAGCCTAGATATTTGTTGACAAGTTCCTTGCAAAGTGCGGTTTCTTCTTCTTGAGAATAGGTGCAGTTTGCATGAAGGGGTAACCCTCCCGATGACTGCACCAGGACAGATGTAAGGAGACGCGTTGATGGTGAGGAGAAGAAAGTCAAAAGCGGTAGATGTGATGGGCCGTAGAGAGAGGAGTGGCGACGAAAACAGAGGCGAACGTTAGAGGGAGACTCCCCGCACCGGGGGGCGGGGCGTCATGGTCACTGAGGCAGCTGTCTACAGCTAGCAAAAGTCTTGACACGGCAACCTTTTTAAATTGCAGGTACAGGTTATCTAAGTATCTTCCTGTTAATAGCTTCCCCTTCTCTGGCAGTCTGTTTCATGCCCAGTGGATCTAGCCCAATCTTGGAGTTGCCCACTGTGGCAACTCTGGCATTAATGTATTAGTTATATAAAGCCAAAGGTGGAATAGGGGGAATTATTTCCCCTTTATGTTATTCTACATACTGCCATTTTTCTCAACTTTAATAATTTTTCCCATGACCATGTCTGGTAGCAGCAGCAATCTATTTGAAGTGTTCAGAGGAAGTTAACGGGCTGATCATAAAAAAATGCCAGTAAAAAAACAGGTGGCACCCAAAATCAATTATTTGGAAAGCTCAGCAGTTTGCAATCAATGCTGACCTTACCAGAACTCAGTAATGTTTGTTTCATGTTGGGTAATAAGCAGAAATGAAGTCCTTCAATGATCAATGAACTTCCAATACAACAGCACAACCATTTACTGACCACTAGCATGGTGCCAGATGGGCCAATTCCTGTAATTAGTCCATTCTCCAACAAAAGTATAGCAGTCAAGTCATTTCTACCTACAAGAAGTGTAGAAGAGAAGAATGCTTAGAACTTCAGGCCTCGTCAAGCTCCCTATAACTAACATTAACTACTGGAAAGTGGTTCAAGTGATGCAATACTTATCTCCCCTTATCCACAAAGTCCCAAGGATCCCAAAGGCTACCCAAAGCACCTCCACACCATCTCCAAAGCCTTCTTTACCCAATCTAATTCATTAGTATCAAAAGTCAATTGGCAAGCCAGTGGTGTTTAACACCTTGCACAATATTATAGAGAAAATTATTCAGTTAGGCAAGGCACGCTTTAAGGGGGGGGTAGTAGTTTTTTATCATAGCAAGATATCTTTGTGGGTCCATTTTTTTTTAACCTGCGGATATGCGGTGATGAGAACATTAAGATTATGCGCAGGTTTCGTGTCTACCGTCGTGGACCACTCGGTAGATGGTGTTTCTCATCTACCTCGTCTACCATGTACGGTACGGTAAATGATACCGTACAATATATTCCTCAGGGAAGACGTAAAATTTACCATGTGACTTTCAGACTAAATAGCCAGTTAGCTTCGCCAATACCGATCTTTTTCAAACCTTTTGGATTTCAAGAGCAAATATAGACTAACAAAACGCTTTAGCAGCCTTAAATATTTCTATAAAATATTCCCAATGGGTAGGTCCAGCTGGGTTTGTTTACATTTTCAACAAGGCGGCACGACCAGACCACCGCTTAGAGCATCTAATATCTCCCCACAGTTCACTTTGGGGAACCATCCGTGCAAGATCTGTAATGCTGGACAACACCAGAGCAACACACGCACACAATTGATAGAATATAACTTACCATTTCGACGGATTACTTGGATCTTTAGAGACCCTCGCGCACGACCAATACCACAGCGAGATCAGACCTGGAAAGGACCGGGAGGCTGCTTGTGAGGTCGCGCCACAGATGGCGCGACCGATTCCGCGGCGGCAAATTCAAATAAAATTTCTACCCATTTTACTTTCGTCTAGGGTGTTACATAGCCTAACTGACTTGGTGCAGTCTTTTTGACAATTACTTCTAGATTGCGTGTCTTAAACTTTGTGTCTGGCCGTTCATGTATAACAAATTTACTATCTTTTTATTCCAGCATAGTTGAGGCAGTTGATAATGGTAAAGTTTGCGATGTTGTGTACCTTGACTTTAGCAAAGCTTTTGATACAGTGCCACATGAAAGACTATAAAAAGATAGAGGCTCATGGTATTGGGGTGCTAAATTAAGATGGATTAGGGCATGGCTATACCAAAGGAAACAGTATAAATGGAGTTAAGTCAGGGGGGAGGAAATGTTCTAAGTGGAGTGCCTCAAGGCTCTAATGGGGCCTCTTTATATATATATATATATATATATATATATATATATATATATATATATATATATATATATATATATATATATATATATATATATATATATATATATATTCAGGTTTGAGTAGCAACATCTGCAAATTTGCCAACGATACAAAAATCGGTAGGGAAATTAACACGGAAGAAGACTCACTATTTATTTATTTATTTATATATATACAAGAAGGTACATTGGGTTTGTGAGAATACATTGGATAGTACAGTATTTACATTCTTGTAAAGCCACTAGTACGCACAGCGTTTCGGGCAGGTCCTTAATCTAGCAGATAATTTTAAGTAGGTAATTTCAATCAGAATTGATAAATGATAAAGATACATTACAAGAGAAAAATGAGATGAGAGAGATAAGTAGGTATATTAAAGCATATTGTTATATTAAAGCATATTGTTATATTAAAGCTCTGATTGATTACATTGACAGCTTGATTAGTAATTTAAACAAGGTTAATAGACACCATACAGCAGATTGACAGCACATATAAGACAGCAATGATCACAATGGTAAAGATGTTCAGATTGGGTACATAAAGATTGGGAGACTGGGTAGCAAAAAATACAGATAAACAAGATTTACAAACACCATACAACAGATTGGCAGCACATATAAGAAAACAGCAATGATCACAATGGTAAAGATGTACAGATTGGGAACATAAAGGTTGGGAGATTGGGTAGCAATTGATACAGTGCAATTTTAAGGCAAAAAGTGAAAAACTATGAAGATGAAATTAGGTACTTTTTAGTATTGATTTTGAATGATGTAAAAGTTGGACAGCTTTTCAATTCAGTAGGGAGTGAGTTCCATAAACTGGGTCCCTTTATTTGCATAGTGTGTTTACACAGATTAAGTTTAACTCTGGGGATATCAAAGAGATATTTATTTCTGGTGTGGTGATAATGGGTCCTATTACATCTGTCCAAGAAGAGTTTCAGACAAGGATTTGCATTTAAGAACAGGGTTTTGTAAATGTAGTTGACACAAGAGAATTTGTGGAGTGAGATTATGTTTAGCATGTTTAGGGAGTTAAACAAGGGGGCTGTGTGTTGTCTGAAAGCAGAATTTGATATTATTCTGATAGCAGATTTTTGCTGGGTGATGATGGACTTGAGGTGGTTAGCAGTGGGTGAACCCCATGCACAGATACCATAGTTGAGATAGGGATAGATTAGTGCATAATATAGAGAGATGAGAGCAGAGTTAGGAACATAATATCTGATTTTGGAGAGTATACCAACTGTTTTAGAGACTTTCTTAGTTATGTGTTGTATGTGGGTACTGAAGTTGAGTCTCTTGTCTAGGAATATGCCAAGAAACTTTCCATCATTTTTATTGCTAATGTTTACATTGTCAATCTGAAGCTGAATTGCATTTGTAGATTTGCTTTCGAATAGGATGTAGTAGGTCTTTTCTATGTTAAGTGTTAGTTTGTTGGTTGACACCCATAAGTGGACTTTTTTTAGTTCATTATTAACAACACCATTTAGTGTATGTGGGTTGGGGTGGGAGTAGATGAGGGTAGTATCATCAGCAAACAAAATAGGTTTCAGAATGTTAGAGACATTAGGCAGATCATTAATGTATACAAGAAAAAGAAGAGGTCCCAAGATGCTGCCCTGTGGCACTCCAACAGTTATTGGTAGAATGGGAGAGATTATATTATTGATGGCTACACATTGGTGTCTATCACTAAGATAGGATTGGATATAGTCCAGTGCATGGCCTCGGATTCCATAATGATGGAGTTTACTTAAGAGGTAATCATGATTAACAGTATCAAAGGCCTTTCTCAGGTCAATAAAGAGTCCAATTGGAAACATTTTTGTCAAGAGCTGAGTAAATTATATCAAGGAGACTAATAATTGCATCGTTGGTACTGTTTTGAGAGCGGAAGCCAAACTGACAGGGGCTAAGAATGTCGAATTTTACGAGATAGGAGTAGAGCTGTTTATAGATAATTTTTTCAAATATTTTTGATAGTATGGGTAGGTTCGATATTGGTCTATAGTTGTTTAAGTCTGACGGATTACCTCCTTTATGAACTGGCGTTACTCTTGCTTTTTTAAGGATATCAGGGAAGGTATGACACTCAAGGGATTTGTTGAACAGCAGAGCTATAGGTGGCGCAAGGGCATGGGAGGCGCTCTTGTATACAATGGATGGGATTTCACCGATGTTCCCAGCTTTGGTTTTTAGTGAGTGTATGATGGACAACATCTGACGGGCTGACTGGTGAGAGGAGAAGAGAGTTTGGATAGCTGCCTGAGAGATATGTGTTGATATGTGTCTGAGTCTGTGGGATTTTACTTGCAAGGTTAGCACCAATCGATGAAAAGAAGCTATTAAATTCATTCGCCATTTCTAAGTCAGATGACAGTGTAAGGCCATTCTTAGAGAGTGTTATCTGGTTGTGGGAGTGTTGTTTAGTTCCCAGGATGTTAGAGATGGTATTCCATGTGCTTTTCATGTTGCCTTTTGCTTCTTTGAATCTAGTCTCATATGAAAGTTTTGCTTTTCTTATGATACAGGTAAGCACTGACGAGTACCTTTTAACTACTTCCACTGAAACTAGGCCACTCCTAAATTTCTTTTCGTATTAATGTTTTTTGTTGATTGATTTAATTATGCCACTTGTGAGCCACGGGTTATTTTTTCTTTTATCAGTTACTTGTTTGGTAAGGAGGGGACAGTGAGTGTTGTAGAGGCTTAGAGTTTGAGGAAGAGGTTAGTTGAGTTTATATCCTGTGAATTATTAAATTCAGATTCCCAGTTAATATTGTGAAGTACATTAGAGAGATTGCCTAAAGCTGATTCACTATGTAGCCTGAATGAAAGTTTTTTGGTTTCTGGTGGTGTGTCAATGTTTGCTATGAGGAAAGTAGGATAGTGGTCAGTTGTTCTGTCAAACTATCTATGAAGTGAACTATCACTTCAAGTTGATCTAAATAGGCATTTTGAAATGGTCAAAAGATTGGCAGATGCAGTTTAATGCTGATAAATGTAAAGTTCTGAGGCTAGGTAATGATAAGAGTTACAAGATACGAGCTAGATGGTGTTGAGATTGCGAAGTCTGATTGCGAAAGGGATCAGGGAGTTATGATTATTAAGAATTTAAAACTAAAGGATGAATGTTCGTAATAAGGCAAATAGGACACTGGGATTTATTAATCGAAGCGTTAGTAACAAGACTCCTGGTGTGGTTTTTCAGCTATATCTAGCTCTGGTTAGGCCCCATTTAGATTATGCAATTCAGTTTTGGTCGCCGCACTATATAATGGATATAAATTCACTTGAACGTGTCCAGCTTAGGATGACAAGTTAATTCCCCAAATTAGAAATCTTTCATATGAAGAAAGATTAACAAAGCTTAAATTGCATTCATTGGAAAGGCGAAGAGTTAGGGCTGACAGAGGTTTACAAGTGGATGAAGGGACATAAGGGGGATATTAAAAGTATCAACAATACTTTTAATAGTAATAATACACGAAACAATGGGTTTAAATTGGTTAAGTTTAGATTTAGGAAAGACTTGGGTAAATACTGTACCAAGTATTTACAGTATTAACAGTAACAGGGTTGTTGATTTGTGGAACCAATTACCGCGTAACATGGTGGAGGTGGGGTCCCTCAATTGTTTCAAATGTGGGTTGGACATGTATACGAGTGGGATTGGGTGGTTATAAATAGAAGCTGCCTCGTATGGGCCACTAGGCCTTCTGCAGTTACCTTTGTTATGTTCTTATATATACAAAACGTATAATGGGTCTACGAGTGCATAGCATTGATGTTTATACAACCACTAACGTGCATCTACATGCATATCATTGTTTATACAATCTAACAATTTTAAGTTAGTAATTTGTAGCAAAATTGAGAAACGGGTACATTGTAAGAAAATTAGAAGGTACATTTTAGTAAAATTTGAGTATTATCGATCAATAGGTACTCAGGAGTTAATCAGCTTCTTGTGGGGTTGCATCCTGGGCGGAGTCAGTAATTCTACCTTGGGAGGGAAGGGAGAGACCTCAATACAAGATGAACGGGTATAAACACACTGGCTTCCCCCCTCTCCCCCCGACAATGAATTATTATAAATTATTAGACCCCATTCCGCCACAATCTAACCTAACAATCCACTCTTCATAGTCCCCCCTTCCCTGTACTAACCAGCCAGCACCTCCCAGGTCACCACAGAAAACGGATAGAACATTCACAGCTAACGCGATAACTACAACAAACTCTGCACTGCAGCTTCCTCCACCCACCGTCCTACAATTAACATGCACCCACCCAAACATTACCCCTGGCGTTACCACTCCTGCTAACCATACACCAAGAACAATCACGTTCTTTGTATAGAGAACATCCTGAGGCTGTAGGAGCTACGTCTCTCCGAAATCAACGCCATCTTCCTCTCCCTTTCGAAATTCCTCTCCAACTAGGAATGCAGCAGCCTTACACGAAAGTCATTAAAATAACGATCAAAATTATTTTAAAAGACTCTGATCCTGATGCTTTGGGGACCATGAATACTAAAAATCAATACTCATTACACAAATA